TTTTCCTGCATTAGTTTTTGTTAAAAGCAGGCACATATACCTTTTAACAATGTCCTGTATGTGAGCAGCATCTTAAATTCAGGGACATGCAACATTTTCTGTTCATAGGACAGATTTAAAATGCTAATATTAATTTTAGAGCCATGAAGAGCAACAGCACCATAATAAACTATGTTTTTCCTGGGGGAAGTGGACTAAATGATGCTGCTTATTTGATTATCTCAGTTAATTAATTAAGAACACAAATCCTTGCCAAATTGAAATCAACACATTAAGGGATATGTATTCTCTCCTGGATAGTTTGAAATGATACTGCAAAAAGAATATACGTTCATCTTAATTACTATACTTTGGAATGCAACCCCAGAAAACAGATTTAGTTGTGTCAGCATAAATTAATCAGGGAAGTTTTTTAGGACTTTATTTAAGTCCTTCACATGGTAGCATATATTTTTTCTCTAGAACTGTTTAAACATACTGTATTTGAGATCCAATAATTTATGTTAATAACTAGTCTTTGCATTTGGTTCTATTCTCTAATTGTTTCAGGTGTATACATCTTAAAAACTATAAATTTCTCCAATAAACTGTGAATAGAACAGTTTATCTTTCCAACTCTCCATCCTCTTCCCCTTTTTAAAACTTCCTTCACTTTTTGAAATTCCCTGCTCACTCACAGTTTCCCTGCTCTCCATTCCAGGAACCTGCTTCTTTCAATATGGCTGAAGAACAACCCCTTCTGGAACTCCTCAGGCTCCAGCCTTTTCTTTACTCCACCTTCTCATTCCATCAGTACTTAACTGTTCATTGCCACTGTTGTAGTTGCATCATCTGATAGTCTAACTCATGCTAAAATGTTAATGACAAATTAATGTGTCCTTCTCTGAGCTAATATTGAGTTTCATTATCTTAAGAACATGGAGGACAGGACTTAATAAATAATTTTTATACCTTGTTGTAGATTGTGTAGTGCCAGGGAAGTATTTTGAATAGTTGACCTATTGCCCCCCAAATCATAACATAGTAGCTTTATTAATAACTAAACTTGAAAGCGTGGAATGAGTTTGACAACAAGACAAAGAGTTTCCTTAAGTGAAGATGATAGACTTCTTGATTTCAAATGCCAATAGACTTGAATCTAGAGTCAGGAATGACTACAAAGTATTGCTACTACCTATTGTCCTCTGTTCCTCAAATATGAAAGAGTCTATGAACTTATACAAAGTGTATTAGCAGCAGTTGCTTTTATGATAGGAATGAGAGCTAAGAGAACTTTTTTCTCCTAGCTCTGCGATGCTTGAAAATTATTTAAAAAGAAAGAAATCCTGTCATTTGTGACAACATGGATGAACCTGGAGGACATTATGTTAAGTGAAATAAGACAGACATAGAAAGACAAATAATGGATGATTTCACTTATATTTGGATTCTAAAAAGTTGAATTCATAGAAGCAGAGAGTATAATAGTGGTTACCAGAGGCTGGTGACGGTGGGGGAAAGGGGATTGGGTACATATTGGTCAAAAGACACAAAATTTCAGTTAGACTGAAGAATAAGTTCAAGAGATCTATCACACATCATGGTGATTATAGTTAATAACAATATATTGTTATAAATATATTTACTAAAAGAGTAAATTTTAAGTGTTTTCGCCACAGAAAAATGATAAGCATGTGGCGTAATGCATATGTTAATTAGCTCAATTTAGCCATTCCACAATGTATTCATATATCAAACCATCTTGTTATAAACCATAAATATATACAATTTTTATTTAGCAATTAAAAATGTAAAGGTCATTCTTTGTACTCAAACTCTAGTTAATGAAGCATTATTAATCTTGTGGAGCTGTATGATACTCCAGATATTACTGATAGGAAAAACAGTCCCAAAATCCACATTTATAATTTACTACTGTCCTTGTAGTAAATAATATCCACTGAGGTAAAGGCCAATTGTGAGAAAGGGCAATTGTGAGAATAAACACCCAATCTGGAATCTAAAACTAAATTCCTTTCTTAGTGTTCTTTTGTGTGTTTAACACAAATGTTGTTTTAACGTAATTTGCCATAAAAGTCACATTCTAACTGAAAAAGAGCACATCCTAAAAACTGGATTTATAGGTCCTAGTTGAGCATCTTATTTAGGGAGACAATCTGTTTATGACAAGTCCTTCAGCTAAGATCGCAAAACAGCTTAGTGAGAAAACTGGAAAGTCAGAATAAATTTTGTAATTTAGTTAAGAGTATTATACCAATATTAATTTCTTCATTTTGACAATTGTACCATGGCCATGTAAGATGTTAACATTAGAAGAAACTGGGGAAAAGATATACAGGAACCCCCTGTGCAATCTTTGAAACTACTCTATAAGTCTAAAATTATTTCAAAATACAATTTTTGAAGAGTCAAGATACAGGGGGAACTCTCTGAAATGCCATCTTAACAGTAGCAAATTTCTATGATCTATTGTCTGTATATGCCAGACTTCTATAGAGGCTTATATAGTGATTTGGCATATTAACTGAGTACATGGTTCCAAGACCTGGAGTTTCATTCCTCTGTAGGTTCAGTGAGCATATTTTTCAAACCCAATATTAGGATACATTGTCTGACGAAATAACTTCATTCAATTTTCAAGGGTGAATAAATCACAGATAATGAGGGTAGAAATAAGCTGATTTTTTTTTTCTGTTTTATGGCCATGGCTGGAATCTTTCAATGACATTCAATTGTCTCACTAATGTGTTATAATCTATATATTTTAGACTTCAAAAATTTTGTATTTTACTGATCATCAGTTAAATAAAATAATGTATCGCTAATATTTTTGATAACTTGATAAATATTTTGTATTGCACAAAATAATAGTTGGCTCATAAATAATCTCTTAGAATCAAGGAAGGAAGCATCGTAACTTTTTAAAGGGATGCCTGCGAATCAATTTCCAACATGTTGTATTTGTGCATACAGATGCGGAAAAAATTTTACTAAGAAGTGTTTGTGTGAATAATTATGAAAACAATGCTTCCTAAGTTATAAGGACTGAATAAATAAAAATATTAATATATAATTCCTCCCAGAGATGTAAAAAAATCTGAAGGGTACCCAACATACTCAGTAATTTTTATAAACTCGGTTAAAGTTCAGGTGTCATTACAATCCTACAAAAAAGAACTGTTTAAAACTGTTTTATTATAACTGTCCATCAAAAGTAATCTGACTCCATCCAAACAGGCTGCCCCAATTAAGACAAGTGACAGAAGATAACACAAGTTCATGTTCTTTTGAAAAATTTAAAAGAAGCTAAGGAGGTTGCAAAAATAATGCGTTTTGTCTGACAAAAGAGAAGATTGTTCCTAGAACCTGATAGTATTACTTCATGGATTGAGCCTCACAAACTCTGCCTCATTTCCACTTCCCATGTAAATCTGATTTTTGCCTTTGCATTTGCTTCCTAAGACTTTAGGTTAAACAGACAGGTCTTGATCTTGGGTTCCTACTTTTCCCTGATCAATCAATAACCTGTAACTTTTTCCTTTCCTTTAAAAATTCTAGTCTTCTGTGGCTGGCATGCTCCACCCTAAACTGCTCACCCAATTCTGGACATTTCCTTGTACCTTGATTACTAGTCTCTGAACCCTATCCGAAGTCAAACACATAACCTTGCTCAGTTTCCATCTTTCTTGCCTTGTGTACTAAATTCTTAGGTCAGCTGTAAAAAATTGCTACAAACTGGGTAGCTTAAAACAAATGAAATGTATTCCCTCACAATTTTGGACATAAGAATTCTGAGTTGAGGTGTCTGTTGGGCCATTCTCTCTCTGAAGTCTCTAGGGAGGAACTGTTCCTTGCCTCTTCCTGGGTTCTGGTGTTATCAACAATCCTTGACATTTCTTGGCTTATAGTTATATCGCTGCAATTTCTTCTTATCTTTTACATGACTATCACCCTTTTGTGTATCCCTGTGTCTCTGTGTTCAAATCTCCCTTCCTTTCCTCTTATAAAGAAACCGGACATTGACCAAACAAATCCATATGACCTCATCATAGTTTGATTACATCTGCAAAGACCCTGTTTCCAAATAAGGTCACATTTTGAGGTTCCAGGTGAACCTCAATTTTCGAGGGGACACTGTTCAACCCAGTACAGCCCCCAAATCAAACCTTCTGCTGAGAAATATCAGATAAGGCATTCTATTTATTACTCAAACTATGACTACAGTTTGGAATATGTCTAGAAGGTACCAGCCACAAAATAGGAGATCTGATTCCAAACCTATATGTTCACCTTTAAAAATCACAAATCTGTAGCTTATACTTTCATTTAGGATAAGATTAAGCTCTTATAACTCATCATCTTTTCAATAAGATAATTTTCTATAACTTATTCCTTTTATAAATATTTTTGGTTCATATGATTCAGGACATATGAAGCAGTTTAGAGGCTGTTGAATTAATTATGAATCACTCTCACTAGTGATCATTATGGAGATAATATATGGCTAATATTTTTGCTAACATGATAAATATTTTGTGTTTGAAGAAGAGTCCAATGAAAAGATGTCTGCATAGTATCACATAATCAATTGAAAAAATGTTTAGTAGAACAACTCCCCATCTACAATAGGAAATTTTCACTTAAATAAAAATTTTCATTTAGATTAAATGCTTTGATGCCATGCAAACGTAGATTAAAGACACTAAGTAAGCAATAACTTTAAATAGGCAATTATGTCCACTAGTTACTACAGACATAAACAGCCAAACTTTTCCATAACCTTCCTTGAATGTTTTGAGTGGAGTGGTGATTTCTTTAAAATGTTGATAATTTAATATTTCTGTTTTCTATATAATGCTATATATTTCATCTGTATATATTTTATATTTCATAACATACAATGTATTTGAGACTAATTTTAATATTCTCTACTTTGATTGCTTCCTGATAGCTGGATTACCTAGCCAGCATTTGATGTTTGTCATTGTCCTGTATTTCAGGGACTTCATGAGAAGACTGGTGTGTTTACAGCTGTTAAAGTGATGAACGCTCGTAAGGTAATATTATAATTTACCTGTATTATCTTCCCTTAGTGGACTGTGTTCTTGGGATAAACAACTCAGAGAACATTGTATTTGTTTTTAAATCATGATTTTATATAATAATTATTACATTCATCTGGATTTATTATAGTTATTTAATATTACTTTTATTCATTAGTGTATTACATCTATTGCTTTATTATATATCCACATAAAACAATGCTTCTTTCATAGCAGAAGTTCCACATATTTTGGTATTCTATAACAATGAGGAATACATCTGTACTCCTCTCTGTTTCTAGTTGATTATTTGTTTCCAGGGATAGCAAAGAAAAGATTGCTTCTAATACTGGGTTAATCCTGCTGTGTTCCATCATGTTATTTTCCCTCTCCAATGATTTCCTCTGATAATAGAGGCCATTAGATTCTCAATGACAGGTAGAAGGAAGAGACTTATCAGAGATGCACATTTTTCATGTATTTTCTGACAGATGAGCAAAAGAAACAGTTTAATTGGCACTGTTCCTGGTAACATTCATAAAGTTATGTCACGGTTCATAACATATTGGCATAGAATTTGCTAACACTGATTTCTGTTCTTTTTCTTTAACATGAGTGCCACACTTTCTTAGGGTAATATTATCATAAACATAGCAAAGGTCAAAAAAAATTTTACTTTACTATACCCTAAAGGGAAGTTTATGTTTGAAAAGCTATATACATTCACTGAACTGTTGTCAAGGCCGTAAACTGTGCTTTTTCCAATTTGTGCAGGAAAAGTGAGTTTCAGCAACTCACTGTGTGCTTCCATGGCACATGTATACCTATGTGCTTCCACTGTGTGCTTCCAAGGCACATGTATACCTATGTAACACATCTGCATGTTCTGCACATGTATCCCAGAACTTAAAGTATAATAATAATAAAAAAAGAAATGATAGCTGAATTTTCAAAAAAAAAAAAAAAAGTTGTGTGCTTTTTTTTTTTTTTGCCAGTAAATGTCAAATGTTGCAAACCAATGTGAATTTCGAGGGATTTTGAGGTTTTGTAGATTTATTTTGCCCTACAATCCATGGCTTCCAAATAATCAAACTTCTACTTTTTGAGTGAGACTCTCTAAAACACTTATTTTCTTGTTTTAACTTAAGATACCTTGACATACATTTAACCTACATTTCAGATACTCTGACTTTTAAAATATTTAAAAATCGTGTTCAACCCATGGATGTTTAGTGTCAATTAACTGGTTTTGTAAGGAGGAAAAAGCACTTTACTAATACCAGATTATAATTTTTCCCATTATTACAGCAGTTAAATCTACTACCATGAATTTGTTGCCAAATTTCTGCTTGTCATAAAAATTTGGCTTTTTAAATTAAAACTATTGGTGAAAACTGAGAGAGGAATAATATTATCTTACTCTTCCATTGAGTGCCAACGGAACTTAAAGTACTTAAGCATAAATCATTTTTAGAGTGTACCAGTACATCTAATAACATTTTATTCTTGGTTACAGACCCCTTTACCTGAAATAGGAAGGCGAGTGAGAGTGAATAAATATCAAAAATCTGTTGGGTGGAGATATAGCGTGAGTACTAAAAGTTCTCGTTAATACCCAAGTAGTCTTTCCTTTCATTTTCAGCTTTTAACTTATCCCTTTGCATTGTGTCATTATCTCTAGAAGACCGCTACAAGATCTTGCTTGAAAATGATAACATATTTTTATCTTTTAATATATTCACGTAGATTAAATCATCATATATAAGCACTAGCATATATCAGAGAGTAGGAGATAGGAGAAAAGGTCCCTTGAATAGGAATGCATTGACTGTCAGTGAGGAATTACGTAAATTTACAGAGCATAGAGCCCTCTGGATGAATAGCAACAAAAAAGGAGGTGATGGGATCTACAGCAAATTTTGCCTAAAATTGGCCTTGGAAAGGTCCTTTTCACATGTTATCATGACATTCTGGACTGAATTGCTTTTCCTCCATTATGATTCTAACAAACATTACCATTGTGTTTGAACCAAATGAGGAATGCCCCCCGCCCCACTTTTTTGTAAGAGCAATAGCAGGCAGAAAACAAACCGACCACTCAGCCTCAAAGTCTTCAGACATTTGGTACCATACTTGAACACATGAAAGAATATGAGCATGTTTTCTACGTACAGCTTTTTGACTTCCCTTCAGAGCAGTTTCTCTGATACCAACAATTCTCTGGCTCCAGAATAAAACCAACCAAAGATAATTTCTCTTTTTCAGTAGATATCGGTGCTCTATAAAATATTGTATGGGCCCAAAAGTTGAATTTTTGCTCTTGTCAATATAATGAATTGATAAATTTTTTCCTACTTTTCTCTCCTGCAGTCAACTATACATGGGACTCAAATATTTCTAGCATGTTGTGACTTAGTAAATATGTTCCCAGGCACATTAAAAATAACCCTTTTCATTAACAGAATCACATTCAGAAACTTACTAGTTATATTAGAAAGGTATTGCTAAACAACCTCTCTATTAAGTACTAGGCTCCTGTTGTGTCTGTAACTCATGTTTGGAGACTAAGCATATCCAAAGGACCAGATAAAACAGATAGTATCATGCTTTTGTAGCTTAGGAAGCCGCTAAAGGTAAGATATGGGAAATATGATTATTTTATTAATTTTGGTTTCATCAAACATTTGTGCTAATAAAACTTTTTTAAAGACCTGTCCCAAACCCTCTCTGGCACACTTTCCTTAGAGAAAAGGATTTTGATTCTAGAATTGGATGAAATTACAAAGGAAGTTCTGGCATCCTTGAACTGCCTCTTCTTGACAAAACACAGGGTATTCAGGCCAGTCTGTGATCAACTGGCCCTAAGCCAGGAAATGCTGTAGCATCATATTACTGGATGATGTGTGAGAGGTTTAAATTACCCACTTGGCCTGATGGATATAATGTACTTATGTGTTTCTCACAAGCTCAGCTTCCTGTTAATTCAGAGTGGCAAACACACTAATGCTTTCCAAACATATCTGATCTTCATTTATTTGTTTTGGGGGAGTTTACATTTATGTGGGAAACCCACTCTTAAAAGGTTTTTCTAGTCGGGGACTTTGAATTATCTGATTATGTATTTTAGTAAGAAAAAATAACTGCTAGCTAATCATCCAGTTAGCATCTCTAAATCATCTTGAATCCTTTGGGATAAAAAGTATGTGACTTGCACACACATCTCTTAGATGCCAGGGGTTTATGGAAATAGCAATAATATGTAAGTCCAGAAACATGAGTTCGAATCCCAAGTCTACCACTAAACAGCCAAAAACTACTTGGGAAAGTGGTTTACCTCTCTATGCCTCAGGTTCCTCATAGAAAAAGAGATCACAAATGCAACTACATAGCTGCCCAGAGCCCAGCGCATCTCTTGTTCTTTCTGGGACACATAAGCTTTCTAACTCAGAAAGAAAAGGAATCTCCTTAACATCAAGCTACCAAACGGGTGAAAGGATTCAGTCTTGCCCCTGCTTCTCTTTCACTTGTTCTTTGTATTCTTAACCTACTACTATCCTCTCATTCCTATTTATTGGACTACTTATGAGTTCATATTCCTCTCAGCAGAACCTTGGCAACTTAATTGAAACTGAGAGTGCATATGCACAGATAGAATAGCTAGTCCCTGTAGTTTGCTAGTCTTATGCGGTGTCAGGTATTGTTACCATTTCAAAGGAGGGCCACATCACAGGGGAAGTAGAAAGTTTAAGGATCTTACATGACAAGAATGAAAGCCACAGGATTTTTACCTTTTTAGAAAACAGGTTAAGATAATTTGAAGGGAACTTATTTACTGAACTTTGCTGGAAGGCTGGGCTGAGACTCTAGCCTGAGCTTTCATGCAATTCTCATACCACAAGTTGTCATGACTTTATTACACAAATAAACAGAAAGAGGGAACCTGTCACTGAGATTTTCAGCTGCACATATTAGAACCTACCCCTTTCCCCCATAAGACAAATAGTTGTCTAGAGATGTATTTTCCAGTAGTTGAATGTTTATAAGTAAATCCAGTGGGAAATCCTTGGGAAATACTAAAGATTGTTCTGCAACTGGCAGCCATTTTCTCTGACATTGCAAGCTTTTTTTTTTTTTTTACAAGATATAAATTTAGGAAAGATAATTTATAAGTAGAAGTTAAATCAACTTAGAGACACTACAGAGCCTAGTGCACTGCTTTATGTTTATGTCATAAGTATTTTTAAAGCCTAGCCACATTATACTTAAATATAGAAAATAGTTGCCTATTTTTCCTGCTGGGTCTTAGAGAATTAGCTAAGAGGGGAGGTAATAACTGAGTAGATATGTTTAGCTACCAATTCATTTCAGCTGAGAGACTTATTTCTCTGTATTTCAAAGTCATTAAGTCAGGATAGTTTGAGGGAAATGCTGGCGAGAACTAAAGATAATTGGTGGTTAATTCCTTAATTATTTTCCATGTCAATTGTCCCTTTCCTAGGTCATTGCTCAAAAGAGTTAAAGGTATCTTTTTTTCACTGGATTTCAGAACAGGAAATCTTTAATTCAAAAGTTTTTTGTTTTTTGTTTGTTTGTTTGTGTTGTTTTGAGACAAAGTCTCACTCTGTTGCCCAGGCTAGTGTGCAGGGGCACAATCTTGGCCTCTTGAGTTCACGTGGTTCTCCTGCCTCAGCCTCCTGAGTGGCTGGGATTATAGGCATCTACCATCATGCTTGGCCGATTTTTGTATTTTTAGTAGAGATGGAGTTTCACCATGTTGGCCAGGCTGGTCTCAAACTCCTGACCTCAAGGGATCCACCTGCCTCAGCCTCCCAAAGTGCTGGAATTACAGGTGTGAGCCACCACACCAGGTCAAAAGTCTTCTTTTCTTTACACTCTACAAATATATTTCACTTTTGACAATAAGAATATTTCTTAATAATTTTTATAAATTGAACTGTTATAGATGAAATAGGAGAGCTTTTTAATTTACAATCAAATAAAATTTAGAGCTACTATGAATTCAAAGGAGGCCAGTGAGGAATCCATTTTTCAAGTGCAGAATCACTTTCTGAGTCATCTCACCTCACCTTCAACTTTTTATGCACTATTTTATATTCAACATTGGTTGCGTCATTCACGTATGTGAATCTTATTTTCCTGATGTGTAATTTCCTTTAAGTTAGGATCATAACACCTAAATGCACAAAACAATTATATTTTCATTGAAATTTTTAACAATTTAAGTTGCCTTTTTGTAAGTTAACATTTTAAGTTATTTTTCTCAAGTGTATTGCATCTGTATACACAAAAGTGTAATTATTTTCAAATTATTAAGAAACAAAGAGCTTTTTCTAGATTGGCTGAGAAATAAGAGTTACAGAAGGAATATCAAAACCACTTGGTTATCATGGTACAAGCAGACATCACTGAAACTTAGAGAGAATTGCTTTCCATTTCACTCCACTATAATTAATATGCTGAGAATGAAGGAGGCTGATGTTTGTAGATTAGGGTAAACAGTGGAGGGAAATATATAGTTCTGACAGAGCTCAGAGTAATTCAAAGAAGTCGAGTAACAATGATATTTTGTGATAATATATTGCATTTATAGAATTTTTTTCTAAAGATTTCAAAGAACTTTATTTATATTATCCCATTTGGTCCCACTAACATTCCATGAAGACAGGTAATGGCTGCTATCTTCCATCATTCTTTTAAAATAAATTGAACTTTAGGAAGATTAAGTGAATTTCCTACTCTGGGCTATCAGTGCTAAACCTCAGTGTCCTTATGCCCAGGGTAGGTGTTCTTTTCTGACTGACATCACACTGTCTTCTGCTAGAGCTGTCTTGAAGCTATGTATTGTACCTCAGTGATCTCATCTAACCAGATGGCTCCAATTATCACTATATAGACGATTCTCAAAAACAATACTTCTAGACCTGACTTGTCCCCTGAGTGCCAGACCCATATATCCTTTCTGTGCAATCTTGTGCAGCCATAACAAGGACATGTATTTGTTTATTGATTTGGAAAGATGTGCTTTATATACTGATTAAAACATGAAAGTTGCAGAATATTAAAAATAATAAGAGCGTATTTGGATTTTTTAAATGCCACACACATATATATGTGTGCGTGTGTGTGTGTGTATGTGTTGATCATATCATTATGCATTTATCTCTATCTTTCATAGCTCTAGCTACTGTATTAGCATATACAAATGTCTGAAAGAATATACACTAAACTGTTAATATTGCTTGGGGAAAATGTTCAGTGAGAGTAGACCCCTTACATATTTTATTAGTATATTTATCTATATTTGGTATACATGTACCATTGTTGTGATTAATAAAAATAAATTATCTTAAACATAGCTTTTAAACATAAAAATAAATAAATAAAGTGTGAAAAAATAATAAAATTTTTTAAAAGGTCAGCACAGAACAAACTAATACCTTTAAAATGTAAAGGATTACCAAATAATCAAGATAGTATGGTACTGTCCATCCACATGCAAAATAATGAGGTTGGACTTTTACTTTATATAAAAATTAACTCAAAATGGATCAGAAACCTAAGTATAAGAGCTAAAACTATAAAATGCTTAGAAGAAAACAATAATAAAGCTTTGTGACCTGTGATTTGACAGTGGTTGCTTATATATGACACCAAAAGTACAAGCAAAACAACAAATTTATAAATCGTGCTTCATTATAATAAAAACTTTTGTACTTCAAAGGTCACTATCAAGACAGTGAGAAAACAATCCACAGTATGAGAGAAAATATTCACAAGTTGTTTATCTGATAAGGCACTTATATCTAGAATATATGAAGAGCTCTTACAATTCACTAATAAAATGACAACCCAGTTTTTAAAAGGACAAAGAATTTTGTGTTAGACAGTTCTCAAAGAACATATACAATGGGCAATAGGTGCAGGAAAATATGCTCAACATCATTAGTCATCAGTGAATTGCAAATTAAAACCACAATGAGACACCACTTCATATCCACTAGAAAGGTTATAATAATAAAACAGAAAATAACAAGTGTTGGTGATAGTATAAAGTGGAACCCCTCCATACATTGCTCTTGGTAATGCAAAATGGTAAAGCCAATGTGGTAGACAATCTGTCATTTCATCAAAACATTAAACATAGAGTTACTTGACATGACTGTTCATAGAAGAATTATTCATAATAGCTAAATGGTAGAAATAGCCCAAACATCCCTCAATTGATGAATGGTAAACCAAAAGCAATGACATATTGTTACATGCCACAATATGGATGAATTTTGAAAAGAGCTAGTCACAAAAGACCATGTTATATTACTTCATTTATATAAAATGTCCAGAATTGATAAATCTATTTAGACATAAAGTAAATTAGTGATTGCTTAGAGTTTGTGTGTGTGTGTGTGTGTGTGTGTGTGTGTGTGTGTGTGTGTGTGTGGCTGAACTGGGGGATGATAACTGAAGGATATGGGATTTCCTTTTGGAGTGATAAAAATGTTCTAAAATTGATTGTGGTGATGATTGCACAACTCTATAAATATACTAAAAACGATTGCATTTTGCACTTCAAATGGGTGAATTTTATAGTATGTGAATTATATCTCAATAAAACTGTTGCAAAAGAAACAAATATATAACGACTCCATTCAGTGAAAATTTTATACAGTAGCTGGTGCTGCTGGTCCTGGGACCACATCTTGAGAACCACTGAACTAAAAGATCTTCAGTTTACCCTTTTTATTCCCCCAGATTCCAAGTTAACCAGAAATCTTCATTCACTGACCATTTTAGTTGAGATTTTATTATAAATTGCTGTTGGATATAATTGGTTGCCGTAGGATTCTCCCTCATTGATCTACTGTACTTTGGGGACCCACAGTCATTGATTGCACAGCTTAGGAGCTTTGTTGTCTATTCTTATTCCATAGGATGAAGAAGAGGATCTCAGGACTGAACTCAACCTTCTGAGGAAGTACTCTTTCCACAAAAACATTGTGTCCTTCTATGGTGCATTTTTTAAGCTGAGTCCCCCTGGTCAGAGGCACCAACTTTGGGTATGTTTTTAATTATGCTGTTCTTATTCTATAAGAATAAGTTTTACCCAAGGATGTATGTTTTCATGAGTTGTCACTTTTGTGCATCTACAGGAAAACTTAGCACACAACTGTTAAAGTAGTATGGTGTATTAATCTGTTCTCACAATGCTATTAGATTGGTGCAAAAGTAATCGTGGTTTCTGCCATTAGACATACCCAAGACTGGGTAATTTATAAAGGAAAGAGATTTCATTGACTCATCCACATGGCTGAGGAGACCTCACAATCATGGCAGAAGGCAAAGGAGGAGCAGTCACATCTTGCATGGTGGCAGGCAAGAGACCTTGTTCAGGGAAATTCCCCATTATAAAGCCATCAGATCTCATGAACTTATTCACTGTCATGAGAACAGCATGCCCCCATGATTCAGTTACCTCCCATGACATATGGGAATTATGGGAGCTACAATTCAAGGTATTTGGGTGTGGACACAGAGCCGAACCATATCATTTCATCACTGGCCTCCCAAATCTCATCTCCTCAGTTTTTGGAACCAATCATGCCTTCCCAACAGTTCCCCAAAGTCTTAATTCATTTCAGCATTAACTCAAAAGTCTACAGTCCAAATTCTCATCTGAGACAAGGCAAGTCCCTTCCATCTACAAGCGTGTAAAATCAAAATCAAGTTAGTTACCGTAGATACAATGGGGTTATAGGCATTGGGTAAATATGCCTGCTCCAAATGGGAGAAATTGGCCAAAACGCAGGGGCTACAAACCCAATGCACATCCGAAATCCAGCAGAGCAGTCAAATCTTAAAGCTCCAAAATGATCTCCTTTGACTCCATATCTCACATCCAGGTCACACAGATGCAAGAGGTGGATTCCTATGGTCTTGGGCAGCTCCGCCTCTGTGGTTTTGCAGGGTGCATCCTCCCTCCTGGCTGCTTTCACAGGTTGACATTGAGTATCTGTGGCTTTTCCAGGCACATGGTGCAAGCTGTTGGTGGATCTACCTTTCAGGGTTCTGGAGGACAGTGGCCCTCTTCTGACAGCTCCACCAGGCAGTGCCCCAGTGGTGACTCTGTGTGGGGGCTTCAACCCCACATTTCCCTTCTGCACTGCCCTAGCAGAGGTTCTTCACGAGGACCCGGCCACTGCAGCAAACTTCTGCCTGGACATTCAAGAGTTTCCATACATCTTCTGAAATCTAGGCAGAGGCTCTCAAACCTCAAGTCTTGATTTCTGTGCATCCGCAGGCTCAATACCATGTGGAAACTGCCAAGGCTTTGGGCTTGCACTCTCTGAAACAACAGCCCGAGCTGTACATTGGCCCCTTTTAGCCATAGCTGGAGTGGCTGGGACACAGGACACCAAGTCCCTAGGCTGCACACAGCAAGAGGACCCTGGGCCTGGCCCATAAAACCATTTATTTTTCCTCCTAGGCCTCTGGGCCTGTGATGGCAGGGGCTGCTGTGAAGATCTCTGACGTGCTCTAGAGACATTTCCCCATTGTCTTGGTGATTAACGTTTCGTTCCTTGTTACTTTTGCAAATTTCTGCATTCGGCTTGAATTTCTCCTCAGAAAATGGGTTTTTCTTTTCTATTGCATAATCAGGCTGCAAATTTTCCAAATTTTTATGCTCTACTTCCTCTTGAACCCTTTGCCACTTAGAGATTTCTTCCAAAAGATACCCTAAATTATCTCCCTCAAGTTCACAATTCCACATATCTCTAGGGAAGGGGCAAAATGCTGCCAATCTCTTTGCTTAAACATAACAAAGGTCACCTTTGCTCCAATTCCCAACAAATTTCTCATCTCCATCTGAGACCATCTCAGCCTGGACCATATTGTCCATATCATTATCAACACTTTGATCAAAGTCATTCAACAAGTTTCTAGGAAGTTCCAAACTTTCCCACATCTTCCTGTCTTCTTCTGAGTCCTCCAAACTATTTCAACCTTTGCCTGTTACCCAGTTCCAAAGTTGCTCCACATTTTCAGGTATCTTTACAGCAGTGCCCCACTCTACTGACGCCAATTTACTGTATTAGTCTGTTCTCACGCTGGTCATAAAGAGCCTGGGGAATTTATAAAGGAAATTTGTAAAGAGCCTGGGTAATTTATAAAGGAAAGAGGTTTAATTGACACAGTTCCACATGATTAGGGAGGGCTCACAATCATGGTGGAAAGCAAAGGAGGAGCGAAGTCATGTCTTGCACAGTGGCAGACAAGACAGCCTGTGCAAGGGCATTCCCCTTTATAAAACCATTAATCTCAGATCTCGTGAGACTTATTCACTATCACCAGAGCAGCATGGGAAAAACCTGCCCCCATGATTCAATTACCTCCCACCAGGTCCCTCCCATGACATGTGGGAATTATGGGAGCTACAATTCAAGATGAGATTCGGGTGAGAAACAGCCAAACCATATCATGTGGCAAAAGATACTCTGATTCCTGGAGATGGGAGCGATAAAATATGGGAAAATAACTTAAGTGCCTGACAAGGGGATTACTGGTGGAATGGGGGAGGACTCAAATGAATACCAGAAATATTAAACATAAACATTTTCAAATATTTTATGTGATTACTATGGTTGCTATTACAGAAATTACCCAATGAACTAATAAATAATGACTGGATAAGGATAAATTCTAATTAGCACTTGACGTGAGCATATGGGTGCATTTTAAGTTTTTGCAAAGTATATGCACTTACGGATAAACATAACTCTTAAGAAACTCTTTTCCAAATGGTAAGTTGACCTATCCTTTTCTTAGTCATTATGCCTGGAGTAACACAAATTCTAGATCAGTAAGATATAAATTGTAGAGGCTAAATGTAACCTATGCTACCTAAGTTACCATTTTTGCTGCCCTCCACTATGGTAAAAATAGTTAAATCACAAGAAAATCAGTTTTGGTCAAGGATGTCTTTATTAAAAATGGAATATATAGAATATAAGGTAGGGTTAGTATATACCTGAATCTCTATACTTGCTGCATTTCCATTCCATGTCCAAGTTAGTAGTATTTTTTCAAAATAATGACTAAAACTTTTCAGTATCTTCAAGTGACAATAAAATATTCTATTACATTCTAAATAATGGACTTCAGAGAATAGGACAGTGGACGTTATAGAAAGGTTTTCAACAAGGGGTGGAATTGAAACAGTGGTTCTCTAAATTTGGCAGGCATCAGAATCTCCCAGAGAGCCTGATAAAACACAGATTGCTGGGCATCACTCACTGAATTTCTGGTTTAGTAGATTTGGGGGTGTAGGTCCAATAAATTGTCTTTCCTAATAAGTTCGTATGTGATGCTGTTGCTACTGCTGGACTGATCACCACACTTTGAGAACCACCAAATTTATAGACCTTCAGCTTAACCCTGTTTTCTCTCAAATGTCCAGTTAAGATGCATCCTCTATTCTCTGATAATTCCAGTCGAGATTTTAGTAAATATGGCTGTATAGTTTAGTTACTGAGGAATTTTTTTGGCATACACTATTTGTCTTTTTTATATATTTTCACTTACAAGTTTTTTTCCTCTTGATAGTATAGCAGAATGTGAGAAATTTTGCAGTCTCCTTATTGGATATGTATTAGTACTCAATTCATTCAGGCATTCAACATATATCAATTGAAAACTATCTGTCAGATATTGTGCTAGATGCTGAGAATAAAACGGTAAGCTGAATAGACATGCTCCTGACCCATTGGTGCTTACAATGTATTTGCAAAGACCAGCGTCAATCAAATAATCTCACGTATAAATGTATAATTGGTCAGAAGAGAAATATCATGGCTGTCTGTGGGTGAATAGCAAACTTTAATTAAGCTGGGAAATGAGAAAATCTTCCTTGAGGAATAAAAGCTTGAACTGAGATCTGAAGGATGAATAAACATTTAATGTATAAATTATTTGTGAAGATAAGAATTTTCATGGGACACTTCACAAATTTTTGCCTATATGAATCAGAAAAACAAATAGGAAGTAAGTAAGTAGCTTAATAATGACCATTAATGAAGAAGTGTATGTACCAGGCCCCATGCTTACAAAGTTAGGAGAATTACTGAGAATGTCTTACATTCCTTGTATAGTTGAACTCTTCTGACTCACATAAGCAAGATCTTCCAGGGTTTATGTTAGTTGAATGGCTTTAATTCTGGTTTGTCATGTTTCCAAATGAGGAGTTACCACAGTGTACATGTTGTGCCCATTCAATATAGTCAATGCTTAATTCTCCACATGAAAATCAACTTTTTGTGGCTCATCTGTTTTCATTTTGTTTGGCTGCCTCTTCTTTTTGGTGAAAGTGTACTTAGGTGAAAGACATGCAATAATATCAATGGTGAATAACTGTAAATTAGAGGAGTAGTTTTCTGAAAAGAAGATCTTAATATTCCACAGGAAGTAAGGTAGACTTTTTGGATAGTCATGATTTTGAGTTTATCCTTTTGCTTCCATTCATCTATGGTGATAATTAATTTGCATGAAGTTTAAAAAAAGACATATTTTGCTCTTTTGATAAAGTGTTTTTGACGTGGGCAGTAATACGTAAACCTGTACTCAAAGAAAATATTGCTAGGATAATTATAATAGTTACATGCTCTTGTACATCGCTCTTTCCTCTAGTTAACTCATATTACCTGGAAGAAAATTTACTAGTTGGGCCCTCAATTTATTTGTGTCAAAAATAAACTTTCTGAGAAACTGAGTTTATTAATACAATAAAATCTGAATGAAATATTATCAAAGATACCAGTTTTAAAATAGGTTTTCCTTAGTAGTAATCCCATTTGGATGAAATTATCCCACAGGAATGCAATCGACAAATTCTCCCTTGGAGTTGTAGCTTGCCAGTATCTTGGGGAAAATAGTTTGGAATTTGAAAATAAAAACAAAACAACAAAAACCAAACCTAGCGTTAATGTTGAAATGTAAACTCTTTTGAGACCCTCCATATTTTGCTTCATCACCCCCAATTAAACTGTTTCCTTGACCATCCTTTCCTTCCCATTCCACTCATCACTTAGGTTTGTTCCTTGCATAAACTTCTTTCTAAAAGCATGTGTTTATTTAGTTTTCCATAAACTGAATGTTCTTCCTTTTGAGCATATCCAAACACCACCTATCCTTCAAGACATAGCTCAAACCCCAACTCCCAGTTAAATATCTCTGGTGAAATACCTGGCTTCTCTCCCTCCACAAATCTTTGGTTTTAATCCAACTCTCTCTAATTTCGCTAGCCTTTGGAGTCTTCCGCCAGACAATTGAAGCAGTACTTGCAGTGCCTTAATCTCTAAACATTACATATAGATACAAACCATATGGACTAAAACTCTCCAGATAGTTTCAGAAAATTGAACACTAATTTTTTATACTTTGCTGGCTTTCCTGCAGATGGTGATGGAGTTATGTGCAGCAGGTTCGGTCACTGATGTAGTGAGAATGACCAGAAATCAGAGTTTAAAAGAAGATTGGATTGCTTATATCTGCCGAGAAATCCTTCAGGTGAGTCTTCATATAGTTATTCTCTTCTGATCTTTTAAGAACCTGGGAGTAATATATACAATGCACCTTATACCTGCTCACATCAGATAGTTTAGGTATTCTAAACATAACCTGTGCATCAGGATATCTGAAAAAGCCAAAAAGCTTTTGAGAAAGCCGATTTGCAGCTGACACCTTTAAATAAGCTAGGTAACGAGCTTCTTTGAAATCATGGCCTTTAATACTACTGTCAGATTAAGATTACTGTGTTCAGTGGATCGTGGAAATGACCACTTGGATTATTTATTATGTTGTTATTATTTTACAGTTCTTTAAACAAAAACATAGCACAAGCATCATAGATTAAGATGAAGGTGAGTCAGAAGAAGTCAGTATTTTATGGAATGGCCTCAAATCATCTGTAGCCTTTTGGCAGACAAACATTTTCTTTGATTACTGCCCCCATTTTAAATTTATTTATTTTCCACACCCAATTGGATGAGAGCAACAATCTTCTTGATCTACCAAATCCCATCTTTTGTGGCTTAAGTTCTTAGGGTCATCCAAGAAGGATATTAACAGAATTGAACAGTACTACTCATACAGTGTTAGAATGTCCTACCTGTCATTTTGGTTGGATTCACTTGTGATGACAGTGTAAATGGTTGAGAGTTCAAACTCTGGACTGAGTTTACATTTAGTTTACTATGGATAAATTTTATCACTTGGAATCAGTTACTTAATTTTTCCAAGGTTCATTTTCCTCATCTATATTATAAGGGTGATATTAACACCTTTCTCAAAGGGTTTCTGAGAGGAATTAGTAATTTAGTCCATGTAAAGCACTTAGTATAATCCTTGGCAAAGAATAAGGGCTCAATAAATGTTAGCAGTTTTATTGTTACTTTATTATGAATCTCCAGTTAGTGTCTGAGGCAATCTCACTACAGCTTAACATTGCATACCACGTGATGGGTTAGCCAGGTCACGGGTAAATTTTAGTGGTGAATGGGCTAGAACCAAAGTGTGAAGCCAACACAGATTACAAATGCTGTAAAATGAATTTCCACATTCCCCTAAATTCTCAGTCTACAAGGCTGACTAGAAAATATTTTGGACTAAACAAATGGTTGGATAAGAAATAGAGCAAAACAATGGCTGAGCTATGATATTCAAGATGTCCAGGTCTTTACTCTTATGGTTAGTTGGAAATACGGAGGCTAGAAAGGAAGGTGAAGTGGCCCAATGTATACAAACATTACTTTGGGTACTCTTTTTTCTCATGGGTGTCCTGATTTATTTTCCTTTCCTTATAGCCAAAAGTCATATTTCTGGGAACGGGTTGTAGTGATTCCAGCCTAAAGAAAGAATTGTGTCTGAAACATCAAAATTAAGCTGTTTCTCTTATCAAAAGTTTTTCCAAAAATACTAAGAACTGTACCAGAAAGAAAGAAAGAAAGAAATATATACTGATGTGGCTTTTTAAAAAATATATACAGGGCTTAGCTCACCTTCACGCACACCGAGTAATTCACCGGGACATCAAAGGTCAGAATGTGCTGCTGACTCATAATGCTGAAGTAAAACTGGGTAAGTTTATTCTTATAGTATTTTAAGTCCAAAGCATCTTATTGGAGAAAGCTCCTTTAAGATAACTATGTTTTCTATCATGTCCCTGTCGATATCCTCTACTTATTTGAGCTGGATTTTCCCTGCCTGCAAAACCAGTCAAAATTTGAAAATTTGTTTGGGAGAGGAGGCGGGGCAAAAGAAAGAAGATGCACCTACCTGCTTCTTTGAAATCATGTGGATAAAACAACTTTTGAATTGTAATGGGGATTTACTTTTTGGTCATCGCTTTACCCTCTATTAGAAAGAGCTATTATATTTATTTCAACAATTGAATTGAGTATTTACCATGTACAAATTTCGATGCCATGGGCAAGGATTTTAAAAAAAATTGTTTTACATGACAGACTCATATTTTCTCAAGAATATCAAAGAACTTTTAAATTATGTAAGGATGAATTGCTTATTTGGATTTTTTCAGATATGTAAAGAAATGATATTGATCAGAATTGATGCTCCAATAATATGCAAGTCAAGTTCAGAATTATAAATCAAAAGACTGGAAGTACCTAGCTTTCTATGCCAGAGTTCAGAGTTATATAATTTATTTGAAAATAACCACACATATTTTCTCATTTTCTTGTCCTTAAGCACATAAGGAACAATATATTGTACCCTTTAATGTGTAAAATAAATATCAGTAGTTATTAGAATAATGCCATAAAAATTATGTCAGTACATTGTAGTGGCAGATAACCCCATTGATATAGAAAATAAGTCACTTGCATTATTTTTCAACAGTTTGTAAACATGTGTCTGAACATGACCTTAAGATGTTTCCCATTTTCTTGCTAAACAGATAGAACAATAGTAGAGATTTTGTTCATTCATTAGGAACATTGGAAGAAGCATGAGGTAGTAATTGTTTACTCTTGGAATAAGTGAAAGTAGTTTCAAGACAGTGTATGATTTATTTTGCGTCTGCCTAAAAGCTATAAAGCTAGAAACACAATTTTAAAATCACAAGGAGAGGCCAGGTGCAGTAAATAAAAATGTAAAAAATACATGAAAGGCATACATATTTCACATTTAAATACTCAGAATAGATAGTTCATCACAAAGCTAAACACTGTGTTCACATACAGAGCAACACTCTCATATACTTGTGTCAAGTTGCTGGCCAACGCAAACATTTACAACACAAAAGAGAAATTGTACGTAAATGAAAAGCCACTGAAATATCTGTCACAATGTCCATGCACTAAAGTTCATGTACTTTCCTCTGGAGGAGAGACCTTCCACTGCTGGATTAGAGTTTAATCAGATTTACTTTACATGTAGTCTGTGTACAATTTATTCTAGATTTCTCAGATTATCACTATTTTTAAGTAACACATTATAAAATTTAATCACACATCTTTTACACTTAATTCTTGTACAATTTGTTTTAAATTTTTAAGATTATAGTTGTTTTTAAACAACGTAGTAGAAGAAGAAAGTTGCAGAAAGCAAACCTAATGACAGCCAAAGGAAGTGATAGAAGGAAAAGAGATGGAAAAATGATTCTATTGCAGTTGCAATTGCTCAATAATCTTCATATTCCAGCCTGTAAGGTCATGAAAGAAAACTTTAAATTATGCCGTTGTTGAGGTTTCGTCTCTTCTTGGCTTTCATTTCTCTTTCTCTTGCTCTTTTTTCTTTTCTTCTATTAATCAGTCTTCTAGTCTTTTCTCCTTTCATTTTCTCTTCTGGATATATGCCTTATACCAACTTATGGCCTTCCTAGGTAATTCTTGGCCCCTAATGCCAGTTCACAGGGATAGTGAGAATGCTGGGCTATTATTAAACCTGTTTCTTTAAAAAATCTAGATAAAAACATGGTACAACACCCAATGGTGATCTTCACAAATATTGTGGACATTTTTTTGTTGTTGTCGTTCTTGTTAGATCCTTTAAAACTGCCTTAAACGCTTAGGTTTTTCTTTTTCCTTTTTCTTCTCTTCCCCTAAATTCCTGAAGCTTCTTTTCAGTCAGTTTTGTTCGCCATCCTCTGGATTCCTGGAAACCATTCTAAATTAGAAAATCTACTTCATTTTTTATCCGTGTTTTATTTTTTCTGGAATAAATAACCCCAGCCTACTTTAGCCTTTTTTTCTGTTTCTGAGGATACCATACCAAATATTTTCTTATAATGTATCCCACAGATGAAGACTGAACTTTTATAATCTAAGCTGAGATATAGATACCACAGTAAATACCTGCATCTGATTCAAAAGATCTATGTAGGAATTTAAACTAAATTCTAGCAGAAAACTCATTTTTCTTTATCAGTGTGATAGAGCCTTCTCATATGATATGTGAGGCTTCCTGATAAAGTGCTAATAGGTTTTAGATTTCTTTGATCTTACTTATGGTTCTGGTCTTCCTTCAGCTTGGTTCCAGGTCCAAACACTACATATGTTATCATTTTGGAGGTTCAGAGTGTCCTGACAGAACATTATTTTTAATATTCATGGTAAACATTCAGCCAAACCTACTGTAGATTTATAATAGCACTGCTGAGTCTCATTCCAAAATAAATAGCAGCAAAAGCTTATTTTCCAATATTCCTGGAGTAGACTTCATGGTAAAGTTTGCTAGGCTGGAATGAAAATCTGTTATTCATTGTGGCTTTTGTATCAGCTTTCCAAGTTAAAGCAATAACTTATTAAACTTTTTCTTCCTGATTGATTATTTTGACATATAATGATTTTTGGCAGTTGATTTTGGAGTGAGTGCCCAGGTGAGCAGAACTAATGGAAGGAGGAATAGCTTCATTGGGACACCATACTGGATGGCACCTGAGGTGATTGACTGTGATGAGGACCCAAGACGCTCCTATGATTACAGAGTGAGTGTGAGAATTCAGTGGAAATTACAATTTGGAAGGGATTTTTGATTAACATTTATTTTTAATGATAAAACAAAAAATAAAAAGCAAGCAGCTCCTCCTTTTACGTTAAATGCTAGTAGGAAATACAAGCCTTTATTTCAGTAAGTGGTTTGATTATATTCATAAAATAATATTTTCTAAGAATGTGGACAAAGTATACCACTGAGAGTTACCTGAATTTGAGGCAGAATGTGTAGTTTATGTTGCTTGTCACTTATTGGTAAAAATATTATATAATGTGGATTTATATGCATATAAAAATTTAACTTCCAGGGACAAAGGGCATTGTAAACTTAAAAATGAATAAATGTAAAGCCAATTATTAACCTCCACAGTAACTTAGCTCCAGAAAAGACAAAAAATAATTTGATTACTCAGAGTAATGGAGAAAATCCTTGGCATATTTCACCTCCAAAACCACAGAAAATCAGTGGAATAGACAAACTAAGTAACAATTCATGCTATTGATTAAAATTTCCACTGAAACTGCAATTTGAACAACATACGTATATCCATGTACACATTTCAAAAGGTTGATGTGGAAAGAAAATTCTCCATTTGCTATAGACTGGAAAAACCTCACTCACTCTCCACGTAAGTCATCCAAACAATTCACTGTGGTCTCCCTGAGTGGAACCTAGGACTCAATACTTGAAGTTGATTAAGATTCATCTCTTTTCCCTTTCCTTAAGTGCCCTCTACATGATCTGCAAAATAATTATTTACTGAGAGTCTATTATGTTCAGTGCTGTTAGGAGCTATGAAGATTATGGAAGCATGTTCTTCAAGTGGCTTTTTATAAAAATAATGCTTTATATTTGCATACTTTTTGCAGTCTTCCAAGGACTTTCACCTGTATTCATTATTTATTTTTAGTTTTTAGCACCATGTAACTGAAAGAAATCTTAAGCATAGACTATCACAACTGAAGCTAAGAAATCTATAAACTAGGGTTCTAAAAATCCAGCTAACCCCCAAGGCCGCAGATCACCTGAGGTCAGGAGTTCGAGACCAACCTGACCAATATGGCGAAACCCTGTCTCTACCAAAAATACAAAAAAATTAGCCAGGTGTGGTGGCAGGCACCTGTAATCCCAGCTACTGGAGGCTGAGGCAGGAGAATCGCTTGAACCCAGGAGGCAGAGGTTGCAGTGAGCCGAGATTGCGCCACCGCACTCCAGCCTGGGTGACAGAGTGAGACTCTGTCTCAAGGAAAAAAAAAAAAAAGAATTCAGAAAACCTGTTTAGGAGTCATTTAGCCAGCCAGTGTATCTCTAGCCCTGTGCCCTTTCCACAATCTGAAGAAAAAAAATACTAAATAGTTGGTACTGAAGATAATTTTCTAGTCTCATTATAATTCTAGCCTTAGTTTAGTATATTCCAGGAACTGCTGAAGCACACACACACATGCACACACACACACACACACACACACACACACACATATCAGTCCTATGTAAGTGTATGCTATTATTATCACCATTTTACATAAAGTAGAATTAAGGCACAGGGAGTTAAAACATTTGCCCAAGATGATACAACTTGTGGGTCTATGTAATAAAATGTCTTTATGACAAGTTTATTTTGGTATTTCAGGTAAAACAATAATAGCAATGCATCCAAGATGAACTTTCCTTGCGCTTAACCCCATTCCCTATCAACCTGTTGTGCAGTGAGGTACTGGCTGATCACAAGCTCAGATTATGTCTTCCTATAATGTCACTCTGTAATGAAGCTTCATTATAGGAAACCCATAAAAGGGCTCTGGCATTGACATCCACATCCCCAGCTAAACACTGTTTTGACATTCTAAATACTACAAATTTCCTATTTTTAAGTGACTTTTTTGTCATCTTTTTCTTCGCAGAGTGATGTGTGGTCTGTGGGAATTACTGCCATTGAAATGGCTGAAGGAGCCCCTCGTGAGTAAAAATGTTTGATATTTATTAAAGATTAGGGAAATGTACTGTACAAATCGTACAAATCTCTCTCTGTGGAAGAAGATGAGATTGTCACTTGTACCACTCAGTTTTCACTGGCCACACAGGTGTCATACTATGTGCCAAACTACCAATGGTGGCCTTTTCAGTGATTACCAAATGCTTTCTTCAGGATAGCTAGATGTGGGTATATAAATCAGCTTGTGCTTTTCTTTCTTATGATATCTTATTTTAGATTGAGTGTTGTTTCAGTTTAGTCTCAGTAGTATTTGGTCCTGACAATCCTAGGCAACCAGAGTAAGGATTCTGGTTGGCATTCCAGTCTATATTTCCTGGTGGAATATTTAGATTCCAGAACATTTACAGTCACACACTGCTACTGCCTCAGGCTGTGATAGTTGAGAAAATTCTCCAGCATTTCATTGAAATTGAGCTAATCTTCAGCAATATCAGGAAGTAAGCCTGTTTTTTTTTTCCTTTGGAGTCAAGTCAGCTTACCTTTGGTGCCCTCTTTACTCCTTTCAGCTGCCTCAGTGCCCATTTCATCTTGTTTTCTCTACCTCCCCATTATTTAAATGACCTGTTAGCATCCTGTTCTCTCAAGGCACTGCTTTCTGATAGGAAAGTAAAAACGGAATGTAAACTTGGGTGTAAGTGATTGATTAACCATCTAATGTGTGACTCCAGAGCACAGCATATTTGCTGTCCTTAGTACCTGAAATCTAAAAGTATAAATGACAGTGCATCTCTGGTATTGTTGGATGAGAAGTGTAAAGTAATACCTTCTGGGGTATGGGAAGGGTTGCTTTGCTTTCCCCTCTCCAAAGCAGATTCTATAGGTTCACATGTTCTTGTATGCTCTATCTGCAAAATGTCCACTCATCAAGCTTTATGAGCTTGAACGATCTTAGCATTTTGTTTCAAGGCCAATGAGAGGAATTTCAAGAAATAGAAATAACGGTAACATAATTGTTGAAAATTCCTGATATCCCTTGGAATATCAAAGAGGGGCTGGGATAAAGCTAGGACACCTGTGGATATCATGTTACTTCTGCCTGTATTATAGTGCCCCCAAATCAGCAAAGTACCTAAGTTGGGTGAATAAAAAATTAATAATGGAAAATGTTAAAATGTAATAAGATTACATATGACACACACATAAAATTGAAACGATACTGAGGGGATGTGGATTATTCCTCATCATCTCCTGATTATTTCTGTTTTGGAAACCTACTTAGATTATGTTAAATTGAGCAGCAGCAACTAATATTTCATATTAGTATTGATGATGCATGGATTTGGTTAGGATACATGCTTGCATTGAGTAGCATCTTTTTTCCATTGTTTCTGAATGCTCACCATGCCTTTTCGGAAAACCAACTTTCTATGTTTTGCAGTTTGTACTTCCTGGGTCACCTTTGTTTGTTTTAAATTTTTTTATTCCGAAATATTAAGTTATGGGAAAAAGTATTGGTGAGCAAACTCACAGGAGTGCAGAGAAGGAGTTTTGCACAGATTACACAAATGGCAAGCTTCTTACAAAAGATAAGTGAAGGCCAGGAGATGTGGAACTCACAAAGAGAGAAAATAGGGCTGGCCTGCCTGGATCAGTAATTGGAATAGTACAACTTTGGTCGAGAGCAGCCCTAAATAGCCTCCCTACTAAAACATTTCTCTTTTATCGGTGTCCTTTATTGCCTGGAATATTAATTTTGTGTGGAAATAATTGTCATCAGTTTAACTGCAGAAATCCTCCAGATTATAATTATTTTTTTCATGGAAAGGCCATCATAAGGGATGGCCTTCCAAAGTACCAATTATCTGATAACATCCTCTGAGTTCTAGGTAACAAAATTCTCTTCCTTTGGTCTTCTTTTGGTGAGTCTTTTCCAGAGAAGTAAAGAGAAAGAAAGAATAACTTCTCCCTGACAGGATGCCATAGGGCATGGGTCCCCAACCTCTGGGCCACACAGCGGGAGGTGAGCTGCGAGCAAGTGAGCAAGCGTTACCACCTGAGCTCTGCCTCCTGTCAGATCAGCAACAGCATTAGATTATTCTAGGACTGGGAACCCTATTGTGAATTGAGCACGCAAGGGATCTAGGTGGTGCATTTCTTATGAGAATCCAACTCATGCCTGCTGTTCTGAGGTGGAACAGTTTCATCCCAAAACCACCCCCCTACCCCCAGGTCCATGGAAAAATTGTCCTCCACAAAACTAGTCCCTGGTGCCAAAAAGTTTGGGGACCACTGTTGTAGTGGCTCGAGAAAGAGAGAACTGGACACTTGTAAACCAGGAACCCCTTCAGTCCCTAGGTTCTGGGTAGGAATTCAAACAATATGGGGACCTTTAAACCGAGGCCAAAACTTTTATAATAATCATCCAAACATCAGAGTATCAAAGCCTAATTTTGAATAGATGTAGTTTTTAGTCTCTACCTTTTATAGAAAAGATAATCTGTGCCTGGAGGAGAAGCGGGATAGGATCAGCAGTTAATTCTGACACCCCTTTCTTGGTAAAGCTGTACAGTAGTCAACTTGCCTTAACCTGGACCATATTTTCCCCTATTTTACATTATCCTTGATATTGTAGATCATTTTAAATATCCTCAATGTTGCTTCTTTATAGTCCTACTTCTATTCCTTGTAGTGTCGCTCTCTCATACCCCATATCTATCTTTACCTGAGTGCATTGTGGCTCAAATCTACCCCTGTCCCATCAAGAGGCCTATTCCTTCAGTATTCAGAAGATTGCCTCAGATCTCAACGTGTGTTAAGAATAAACCACGTTATTTAACCTAATTCAAACTAAGCCCAGTTTAATATGTGTCCGACCCTTCAAGAGAGAATGTGATTTTTAAGAGAGGCTTGCTGTTTCAAAGGAATGAACCTCTAATGATGAACATTTAGGTAGTGTTATGAGATATGGGTTGGAGGGGACAGTTACTGACATTACTGAAATTAGACTATATAGGAAACCATAAACAGCTGCTGTTGTACCCACCCTATGCTCCATTCCTTTGTGAACTTTTCCTTTCTGTTAAAGAAAACTTACCTATTCTGTGTCCTAGCACTTGACCCCTGAAGATGTTGTCAGTGGACTGACTGTTGCTCAGATGTTAATAAATGACAACTGTTTAATATTGTACAAACTCACTTACAATAAGTTTAAAGGAGAGAACCTGGAGACTGATTGGACATAGTAAAAGAATAAAAAGGGTTAAATATGATCCTGATATTTTGTGCTTGGAGCTAATTCTGCCTCAATTATAAAAATGCACCTTCTATTAATTTATACCCATGTAATTGAAAACAAAGCTTGGCCTTTTAACAACTGCCTTTGTATAGCCCTAATAAAATCACTCTGTGGAGTTTTTGTCTACTACTATGAAAGATCAGTTTGTCACTTTAGGTTTTTCTGAGGATGCGTTTTGGGAGAGAAAGGATGGCTCTATCAAGAGTCATTAATATCAAATTATCCTCACAAGAATGACACACTTGTAATGTTAGATGAAATTGACACTATGGTTCTCTACTGGGGATTTTTTGCGCTGCCAACTTTCTTTAATCAAAACGCAAGAGGAAATAAGTAAAGTGAGGCATATTTAAACACTTACAGGAAAAACCAAAATTCTCAAACCATTGAAGTAATTAATTTATATAGCACGTATTGGAATAGGTTTTTATTTTTATGCCTGTGTGTATGAAACAGAGAATGAAAGTCCAGTAATTTGGCACAGTCTCAGAGTGCCATAGAGTCAACATCTTTGTTATAATATCAATAGCTGATATTTATTTAGCATCTACTACATGTCAGATACTTTTGAGGGGGATTTAAAAAATATTATTTAAAAAATTTTTGTGCATCCATAGTAGGTGTATATGTTTATGAGGTAAAGACACTTCTACTTGTAAGTTGCTAATTAATCCTCATGACAATTCTTTGAAGGAATTCCTCTTGCTACATTTCCTGTTTTTCAGATGAAGAAACCAAGATACAGATAGGTTAAGTAATTTGCCCAAAGTCACAAAGGTAGAGCTAGGTTTGAACCCAGATGGTCTTACTCTAGGGGGTGTATTCTTAACAGTTGCACTATACCTATTTTTTTTTCTAGAACTCTCAGCTTCCAAAACAGATTCTTCTAAGCTTTCTAGACTACTAAATCATTTTTCTTTATATATTATTGTACTAAGCTAGTAGTTTGGTTTAATTTTTCAGTCTATAATTGCATATTCCAATTTTATAACTAAATACCTGCAATACAAAAACATAGAGGTGTGCTTGTTTCACTTTCAGTTAACTTTTCTAGATGTAAATTATCAACTATACATTTCAAATATTTTGTCTAGTTTACTCTTAGTTTATCTTACTTGATGATAGTGAAACTTGAGAATCTTATATATTGCAACATTGCGTTAAAACAAGTTTTTCTCTTTTGAAATACATTCTTTTGTATCTATTTGTCCCTTAGTGTTTACTCAACATAATATGTGAAAGATCACTGAGAATGCCCTCTGGAATGAGGAGTGCATTCTTTAGTTACCCTTCTCATTCTTTCTAAATTTATCTATTTCCCTTTGCAGCTCTGTGTAACCTTCAACCCTTGGAAGCTCTCTTCGTTATTTTGCGTGAATCTGCTCCCACAGTCAAATCCAGCGGATGGTAAAGATGAATGTCTTGATCTCCTAATTACATTGACTTGACATTTTTATGTTAGCAAAAAAGTTTTAATTCATTTGGTCAGTCCTGCTCCACCATCCTTGTTGAACAATATTTCCTAAAATCTAATATCTTAACCGGGAGGTCTAAATGACCAGTTTTCATTAAGAGGTAGCTAGCCAACTCTAAATAAGTAATATCCTCTATAGTATTTTCTGATGATATTACTGTACTGCCGTTAATGGGCATGTTCAGTTGTTTCCCCAGTAATGGGATGAACTGATGGCAACTATTTGTGAAGTTTCTTGTGATGCTTATATAGGCAGTCAGTTATATGCAGCCCTGTTGATTAGTCCTTTAAACTAAACACACACAGACCTAGAGCAGAAGACTTGTTCTCCCAGGGCACTTACGTGCCAGCTAAACTTGGGCATCCTTCTCTCTGAAGCTTGTTGATCTTGTACCTGAAACTTTTGTTTATTGTTAGTTTTTATTGCTTTCCCTGGTAGAAGTGGTGACTATGATTTGATTGCTAACATTCTGCATTGAAATTCAATTTAACCCTTTCCATGGATTCAATTTTTATGGCCACATCTATTTTCATGGGTCATTTTACAAGATTAGTTAGTCCTGGTGCTTTTAGCACCCTCTTTTTACATCATTATATTCATTCCTCTGTAGTTAAAACTGCGTATAGTCAAATGAAAAATACAGAGTATGACTGCTGTGGGCCAATCAATCTAGTCTTGCAGACTCATATATCACATTAACTATTTAATCATCATATCTGCACTTGAGTTTTTACTAAGTACATACAGTTAACTCATTGAAATTTCTACTGTAATTTAGATGGAATATGCTATTGACTACTCTTGCTTCTTTTTCTGAGGTCTAAATGGCCTCACTTTATAATGTATGTTGCTAAACTGCAGGATATTTGGCAATTGAAAAGACAATAATACCTAAAGGCAACTCTCTCCAAATAGGATTTTCAGAGAGGCATGTGGGTAGTGGTGGGAAGAGGTCTGGCAGGCCTGAGAACACATTTTTTCTCTCTTTGACTCATTTTTTAGGTCCCGTAAGTTCCACAATTTCATGGAAAAGTGTACGATAAAAAATTTCCTGTTTCGTCCTACTTCTGCAAACATGCTTCATCACCCATTTGTTCAGGAAATAAAAAATGAACGACATGTTGTTGAGTCATTAACGAGGCATCTTACTGGAATCATTAAAAAAAGACAGAAAAAAGGTAGAATCTGTGAAGTTTTATTTTACTGAAATGAATATTCAGAGTTTATTCATGTATTGTTTCCAGGAAAAAATATTTGTTTAAGAATTAGATTGAAAGTAAAACTTCTGAGGCCTTCAATATTTAGTTTTTCCATTAATATGCCATGTGCTCTTATTTGATTATCTCTTACATGCGTGTGTGTGTATGTGTGTGTGTGTCTGTGTGTGTAGTTACTAATTCTTGCCAGTTTCACCTGGCAAATGTTCATATTTACGAAGACCTTGAAAGCATCCAATAAAATTTTGTGATATGCCAATTTTAAGTAACTAAATAAAATAAATAAAAGATAAAAGGTAAAAATGTATATCTTACTGTTTTTTTCAGCTGGCATTTTGACTCTACAAGAGATAAATGGATTTGTAATTAACCATTTATTGACTGCTAATTTTGAAGTAGTATTTGTGCACCATATAAAGCTTGTTTTATGTACTAAATCCAAATATAAAATATAATTAAAGGAACTAATTTATACAAATAAACATACACTTCTGTCTATTAATAAAAGTGAACTTCTGTTAAAAATGGCAGGATTTGCAGTGAGCCAAGATTGTGCCACTGCACTCCAACCCGGGTGACAGAACAAGATGCTGCCTCAAAAAAACTAAATAAAAACAAAAGTGCCTGAATGGATTTTCACCAAGTCCAGAAGAAGCCCCTGGGAAGTTCTAACTTTATATGTTATGTTACATATTCCACATTTGACTTTGAGGACCATAGGCAGAGTTGAGAGTAACAATGGAATGTAAAAGGGAAAACTTGTAAAAACAGGCATCCTCAGATCAGCTGTGGGATTGACTGCAGTGGGGCTTGTTGTATCTGTACATGTATCATGTTTTGAGGCAAGGAGCAGCAAGAATTAATTTATTTGCCTGTGGTAATGAAGTTATTGAACCAACATTACAGAGGCCAGCCAGTTTCAAATGGGTTCAGGAAAACCACACATCTACTTGGTAATTTGCTAATTTCCAGAGTTGCAAAATTTCCGAAATGTTACCTGTAGGAAAAGTTCCATGTATATGGAAGTTACACTAAAGATATAAATATAGTTGCTGTAAACATTTTAATACAGGAAATTCAGAAGAAAACTCTTGTTTGTAAGCTTCTATATTTCAGTAGTCGTAGTACAGCTGATAGGAAAGAAGCTGAAAGTTTTCAATGTGTTTAGTGTAAAACACAGAATTAAGAATTTGCTTTCTCATTGAAAAGACCAAATATCAGTCTCAAGCCATAAAGTCCTTACATCTAGAGCCCACAGCTTTAAGTTTTGCTTACCATTATTTAGAGTTTCTCTTGTCTCATTCTCCCTTTGTCACATTCTCTCTTCTTTCTCTTTAGAATTGCAGAAATCAGATTGCTAAATTTTCTTTTCTCTGTTCAGAGAAATTAATCTGCATGCATTAGCTATATTGTGCTGCAAAAGTGGGCCTAGAAACTAGAATATGGTCTACATCACAAACCAAGTACGTTTGAAGGGCTACCTTCTTGCCCTTGTAATTCACTCCACATCCTGAGAAGCAGAGGGAACAACTTGACTAAAGTGGATAACATGCTTATCTGCTGACTGTTTATGCATTATGTTTTTCTCTTTCATAAAAAAAGGAATACCTTTGATCTTTGAAAGAGAAGAAGCTATTAAGGAACAGTACACCATGAGAAGATTCAGGTGCGTTCCACAAATTGCATATATAATTTGATGATAGCAATTCACATAAGGCAGTTGATTCCATACTGTTGCCTTTGACTCAGAAAGACTTAATTCTTTCTGATACAACAAATAACAAATCTCTGTTTTTAAGAGATATTGAGTGAAAATGTGAGGAGAATTCTTTATTACTACCCAAAGACTCCTTAATATCTGGCAAGTGAATGATCAAGTAGATATCAGATTTCATTAATAATTGAATACATTAGTAATACAAATGTTACCTGCAGAATATTTCAGACATTAAGGGAATGATTTCGGAAAGGTTTACTAGAGATATCTTCATTGCAGAAAATGTCCATCTTTTAAAGTAAAAACAATGCCCCTGAATGGCTCCATTCCACTAAAAATTCTAATTGTATGCCAATAATTTGTGTGTTTATTTTAGAGGACCCTCTTGCACTCATGAGCTTCTGAGATTGCCAACCAGCAGCAGATGCAGACCACTTAGAGTCCTGCATGGAGAACCCTCTCAGCCAAGGTGGCTTCCTGATCGAGAAGAGCCACAGGTCCAGGCACTTCAGCAGCTACAGGGAGCAGCCAGGGTATTCATGCCACTGCAGGCCCTGGACAGTGCACCTGGGCCTCTAAAGGGGCAGGCTCAGGCACCTCAACGACTACAAGGGGCAGCTCGGGTGTTCATGCCACTACAGGCTCAGGTGAAGGCTAAGGCCTCTAAACCTCTACAAATGCAGATTAAGGCACCTCCACGACTACGGAGGGCAGCCAGGGTGCTCATGCCACTACAGGCACAGGTTAGGGCACCTAGGCTTTTGCAGGTACAGGCCCAGGTATCCAAAAAGCAGCAGGCCCAGACCCAGACATCAGAACCACAAGATCTGGACCAAGTACCAGAGGAATTTCAGGGTCAAGATCAGGTACCTGAACAACAAAGGCAGGGCCAGAGCCCTGAACAACAGCAGAGGCACGACCAGGTGCCTGAACAAGAGCTGGAGCAGAACCAGGAACCTGAACAGCCAGAGGTACGGGAACAGGCTGCTGAGCCTGCACAGGCAGAGACTGAGGCAGAGGAACCTGAGTCATTACGAGTAAATGCCCAGATATTCCTTCCCCTGCTATCACAGGATCACCATGTGCTGTTGCCACTACATTTGGATACTCAGGTGCTCATTCCAGTAGAGGGTCAAACTGAAAGATCACCTCAGGCACAGGCTTGGACACTAGAACCCCCACAGGCAATTGGCTCAGTTCAAGCACTGATAGAGGGACTATCAAAAGACTTGCTTCGAGCACCAAACTCAAATAACTCAAAGCCACTTGGTCCGTTGCAAACCCTGATGGAAAATCTGTCATCAAATAGGTTTTACTCACAACCAGAACAGGCACGGGAGAAAAAATCAAAAGTTTCTACTCTGAGGCAAGCACTGGCAAAAAGACTATCACCAAAGAGGTTCAGGGCAAAGTCATCACGGAGACCTGAAGAGCTTGAACTCTCAGATTTAGAAGCCCGGAGGCGAAGGCGCCAACGCAGATGGGAAGATATCTTTAATCAGCATGAGGAAGAATTGAGACAAGTTGATAAAGTAAGAATTTTTGATATTTTTACTCTGAGTCAAAAATGAGGAGAAAATGTGATAGCTCATGCTGATGATTTTTCTCAGTAAAACCAAATGAAATAAATATTCCTTGTGTTCCACAGAAGATAAATAATTTGTACTTCAAATAAATTTTCCTGAAATTTCTAGATAATTGTGACTAAATATGAGAAAAATATTTTTCAATATCTCTACTGAAATATAGCTTTAATTATTAGTTTTCTGCCTATTATTCTTTATCTAATAAAGTGTCAACAAATGCACATTTAAAATTACTATTTTGGATCTTTAAAAATTACTTTCATAACTTAAAATTTCAAAGATAACTCATCAAAAATAAGCACAAAACAAAATTTGCTTTTGCTACTCTAACCTTTAAGTTAGTTTATTCTTTCTTCCAATAGAATGCTGAACTATACTAACTGAGTGAATTACACTCATTTTTGTACTACAGGATGTTTAAATCAAGGTTAAAATGAGAAGGCAAAGCAGTTTCCAAAATATTTTGTATATGGTTACCATATTTATGACTTGTTTCACTAATGTGCTGCCCGTTTTACATAATTAATCAATTATGTGGCTTCACAGAACATGAAACAATTTACAAATTATTCTCTGTGTTATAAGACCAACAGGTTCATATGCCCACTGCATAGTAACAGACCAAGTACACATGCATCAGAGATGCAGCAGGAGAAGAGTTTAATGATCAGCAGGGCATGGAGTGAGGAGGTGGGGAGGAGACCCTCAAATCCATCTCCTGGAGGAGTTCTGGGTTGGGGTTTTTAAGGGGATTGTAGAGGGTGAAGTGCTAGATAATTGGAGTTGTTGATTGGTCAGGGTAAGGTTGATGGTCCTTGAAATCATCGGGATGTGGAAACTGCATTTTTTGGTGAGTCAGCCTCTTGTGGGCTCCTTCAGACCAGTTGGCGTCAGTGGGGTCCTTCAAACCAGTTGATTGACAATAGTTTCACTGGTATGCAAGACCTGAAAAAATATCTCGAAGGGAAAACAACATTTCATAATGTTCAAGTTGTTATCTACAGAGCAGTTAAGGGGAATGATGATGTTGCAACAAGGTCTACGTGATTCTAGGAAAATAGGCAACAAACATCTATTGAGGAAGGAGGTCAGAGAGCAAGCTGACCTAAAGATTAATGCTAAACGTGCTGCAAACTTGGTATATTTTTTCCTCCCCCTCTCTTCTTCTGTGATTAATTTTATAAGTTAATAAGGGTGGTTTCATCTGTACCCTTTAGAAATGTAGATTACAGTATATCAAACTCCATTTTATCTAGGAACAGTCACTAAAACGTAATTGTTTCAAAAATCATTTAATAAAAAGTGAATATGATTTTCCTGGAGTTATTGAATTTAATCTGGTAGGTCTAAACTGATAATGAAGAATTATGGGCTTGATGACAAATTAATGAGGTTAGATAAGATTAGGGGAGCAGTTGTTTTCTAATATTCCCCACATCCATTTGTGTAAAAGGAATCATTGTGATGATCCTAACTTATACCCTTTTATCCACATCTATTTACCTAATAATAATCGTTGCAGTAATTACAAATGAATTTTATCTGAGTATCTATGTAAGAAATTCTTTGAGTTTGTGCACATTGAACCAATTAAACAAATGCTAATTTGTTGACATGTTTAACATGAGAAAAGGTAGGAACAGCAAGAGAAGCAAGGCCCAAAAGGGAAAATGGATGTCTAGCTCTCAGAGAAAAAGGGAACTATAAAGAGCAATAAACTAGATGGAGAAAGGGGAGATTTAAGTCTAGAATGGTGACATTTGGCAAAAACTAGCTCATCTAAAACGCTAATGATTATTTTTGATGAGCCCTAGTAATCAATTAGATCTAATGGGTTTCGCATTTATGAATAAGACTTTCATTGATCTCTGAAAGATTCAGTAATACCAGCATGGCACATACTTATTGTCATTTATTGTTTTAAACATACATGTTGAAAGCCATTCTAAAAATTTTAAAAGTCAATAAATAATAGTTACCAATCTCATGACTCTAGGCTCTTGTACAAGCATTTATATCTTTATATGTGGTCATTGAAGAAAATATAAAGGAAAAGAAAATTATTGATAATATAGTCAAAGTCACAGATCTTTCATAATACCTGAAATTTTATTAGAGTTGAGAGACATAGGTGGGTGCTTTAAGTCACCAGCAAGAAACAAACAAACAAAAAATGCATTTTTATTAATCTTTCAGTTGAAGAGATAATATTGATTGGATTAAAGGAGAAAACAGTTTCCTAAACTCCTAGAGCTCAATTAGGGAGAAATATTTGCACCACTGTATTACAGATCTTCCATTGCTCAGGAAGACCAAACTTTGAAGTTATAATAGCTTGCTAAATGTGACAGTTAGTTTGGTGTTATGAGTTAATCAATTTTAGGCCACAGATTCTTAACCTGGACCCTGTAGATGAACTTCAGGAGGTCAGCAATCCACCAGAAAATATACGTAATAGGTGTGTCTATATGCAATTTTCTGTGGACAGTCTATAGCATTTCTCAGATTCTGAAAGGGATCCAGAACCAAACACTATTAGAAACTACTGATTTAAATCATTTTTAGTATTTGGATATTGCTCTTTTAAATTGTGTATTGTTTTAAATTATATATTATATAATACACATGAACAACTCAGCATTAAGATGATGAAGTTGTTCCTATCACTTGCATTTTAACAGCAATTAAAACAGTTACTTTCCTTTTTACTTCAAAGGACAAAGAAGATGAATCATCAGACAATGATGAAGTATTTCATTCGATTCAGGCTGAAGTCCAAATGGAGCCATTGCAGCCACACATTTCAAATCCTAAAAAAATTGAGGTGAATTTTTCAATATGAGTTGTTATGACATTAGTAAGAACCTAGAACAGTGGTTCTTAAACTTTTTTGTCTCAGTGTCCCTTTATACTCTTAAACAATGAGGACCTCAAAAAGCTTTCATTTACTACATGGATTGTGTCATATGATATTTAATTTATTAAAAGTTAAAACTGAAAAACATTTAAAATATTAATTCATTTAAAAGTAATGAAACTATTACATGTTAACATAAGAAACACATTTTTAATGAAAAGCCTGTATTTTCCCAAAACAAAATTTTAGAGAGATTGACATTGTTTTACATTTTTGTAAGTCTGTTAAATCTATCTTGCTTAATGAAAGACAGCTGGATTCTCACATGTGCTTCTGCATTCAATCTGTTGTCATGTGCTGTTTTGGTTGAAGTATACGAATAAAAGCTGGCTTCTCACACATAGGTAGTTGGAAAGGGATAATTTTCATAGATTGTTTAGATAATTGAGTAAATTATTGAATAATATACCAAAACTAGAGAAGTGGAATCTTAAACCATATCAATGAAATGTTGTATATTCAGTTAATAATAAAACTCAATTTGTCTATCTTATGCTATAAATAGATGTTTTGTTTTATGCATGATTTTTAACTTCATGCATTGGTCAGTTGGAAAATATTAGCTCACTTTGTATGTAGATCTTCCCAGACATTTACATGTTTCATTATACAATATCAAAAAACAGCATTTGTTAATGTTACCATCAAGTACATCATAAAAGTTACTGAGTATTGTTAAGTTGTCAAATGCTTGGTGGCAGATATGTTTGAAAATTCTAATTTTCCTTTGTAAGCTCAAATTTTATCATTGCTAAATTGTAGCATGTGCTTTTTCTCCTTAACTTGACAGGTTTACTTTATTCATTAAAAATAAAATGTCTACCAAATACCCAGAGTTTGAATAATCATAGTTTGTCAGTCTTTCTTTAAGCAAAAATATTGTACATGAAAAATGCTGACAGTTTCAGTTTGTAACACAAACACACAAATATTTTTCCTTGATTAGCTCTGGTCTGGAATGCAGTTTGTGACAGGGTCTGGGTCATTTAAACTGTGTTTTGTTTTGTTTTGTTTTACAATTATAAGAATAATTAAGTTAGTCCTAGTGTCCACTTTGACTTCTGTTTTCATGACTATATTAATAGTATCCTATTTAGTTCATATATTGGTGAGGCCAGAGTTGTAGGTTTTCTTGTCTAGACAAGGAAGCATCATCATCATAGCCAGTATTCCTGATAGCCAGTCATCTAAAACAATCTTTTTGTAGATTAATAGTAGTGTCAATAAACTTCCAAAGATCAGCTTCATAAACCAAAAGTCCCAGACTGGGTCATATGATACCAATTATATCAATTGAAAGTGGAAAAAAAATAGGCAGATGCTTACCCTTACCTACCTGTCTCTCAGAGTGTAGAGAGAGCCTTGATAAGTCACTTCATAAAGAAAAAATAATGTACTAAGGCTACTCTAGTTTCTAGAAAGTATAGAATGAGTTTATCAGCATGATTATGCTAGATTAAAAAAGTAACACACTTAAATTTCCTTCTTAAAGATTCTAGTATGACTGCCTTATTGCATGTCAGAATGACCTATGTTTTGGGCAGCTGAAACTTCTTTGAGTAGAAACCTGGTGATACAAGACTTAGTGAGGCAAGGCAACATTCCCTGGCCCTGTCTACCAATGTTGGCAGAAAGTAAAATTCCTCCATTGATGGAAGCTGGCTTATTATACGCACCCTTTCTTGAGTATTTGGCTACATTCAATGATTGTATGATTAGTAAAATGCAGATTAATCTATTTAGAGTTGAAACAGTACTTGGAACACTAACTATGATAGTACAGTCAAATTGTAAAGCAGAAAAACATACTTTCTTAAAGATGGGACAGTTTTGACTAGAGAGATTTTAATGAAATGTATGTATGTGTGTGTGACAGCTTTTGAAAATCTAGGGTTAGCATAAAAGGATGAGTGTGTAAGAATTAGAACTTAAATTCTGAGTGAGAAGTTTAAACTTGATATAAAAAGCAATGTGATAACATGGAAAGAACATTAAATTAGACGTTGGGAGACCTGCATTCTGATTTTAGATGTTCCCTTGACTTGACATAAAATTCTTAGAAAAGTCATTTTTCCTCTTTAGGCTACAGATTCCTCAACAATAAATTAAGATTTTGATTATATGAGCTCCAGAATCTGTTCCTGTACTAAAGATCAAATATACCATCAGAAATTATGGTTAAGCAAGTCTAATGTTATAAGTAATTATAAAATAGAATCTCTTTATTAAAAATATATTTTATGTTAGATTTTAGGAAAATATATATGAAAACAGGCATTTTCCTACAAATTAATAGTTCAGAACAACTTATGATCAAGAATTCTACTGAAGTATTTCATTGTGTCTTTAAGGTTCAAGAGAGATCCCCTTCTGTGCCTAACAACCAGGATCATGCACATCATGTTGAGTTCTCTTCAAGGTATGTGTCTTTAAAATTATTCATAATTATCAAATGGAAAATTAAAAATTATTTCATTGATACCACATTTTGTGAAGTCAACTAAAATATCCGTGACAACATCATCACCATTGACTTTCTTGGCCCACATTTAAAACCTTAACTGCAATGACCCATTACCTATATCTTCCATATTTGGTCATACTGCAGTGTCTGTGATATTTAGTTTGATAAATAGATGGCAAGATTCACAATTTTAAAAAGAAACAATAACAACAAATACTTTGACAGTATTCAATTAGTAGTCGATGATAAAAAGACATGAAATTTCAAGTGAATTTTCATACATGTGCTGCATGATAAAACACACACACCAATTATCTTTAACTTCAGAAGCTAATGCCACAGAATGGATAAGCCTAAAAATTTCCTATAGTCAAAATCAAATCTAAAATCCAACATTATATAAATAAAATATCATATATAATATTGATACCAGTCACTGTATTTTTTAATCTTTGTAATATTGATCTTCAGTAATTTTCAAAGATCACATTCCATATTTTAGATATTGTATGCATTCTGTTATATTTGAAAACCAAATTTTAAGGTAGATTTTTAAAGAAAATCACACCCTCTCCAGCCCCAACTCACAATAGAGAGAACTTAGCCTATATTGATTCAGTTAGTAAATATTTATTGAACACTCACTATATTCAAGATATTGGACGGTATGGTCAGATGGCATACAATTAATGTTATGTAGTATATATTTTCCTGCTTCATTACTTTAAAAACCACACACAATTATGTCTTTAGATTTAACTGGAGTGCAGAAATCTTGAAAAATTGTAAAGCAAGACTGGGAACTTTCTTTTTCTCTGCACTCAATGAATGGATTGTCATGGTTGATCTGACCTCAAAGGAAAGAAAGCAGTTTAGTTTTGAGTAGTTGGTTTTGGTGTCATGGAACATGACTTTAATAAAATCCAATATAGAAAATCCATACTTGATGTTAAACTCAGAGTAATTGTTCACTTTACAAAAGGATTTTGAATTTATGAATAACAAATACATTGCCTTTAAATATAGTTAAATTTATGAAGTTAACTTAAATGAAACTCAAGTCTTTTCTGAAATTTGGGGCCATGGAAAGAATTTTGTCTGTTCCAGGCCTAAATCAGTAACCAAAGTCCTTCCCATATAGAAATATCAAAATAACTGTAAAATTTAGCAGCACTAGTCCAAGCAACTCTTTAAATATTCTTTAAATTTGAATAGTAAGAATGAAAGTGCTCTATTTGTCTGTCAGTGTAGCTATTTAAATCAGGAATGGGACGTTAAGAACATGAATTTCAAGCATTTAAAAATGTGGATAATAACAATAGAATATATGACATAGCAGTAACTTGTTTATTATGTTAAAATACTCACATACACTATAAGGTTATGTTTATTGCTGTGTTACTCAGGTAAAAATATTGTCAATATTAGCTTTAAAAGCTTATAGAAATTTTTAGAAATTTATATATATATATAAAGGAAACATACACTCTATGGAAACATATTTTTTCTTATTTTGGAAATTATTACTCTATTCTAGACAAAATAGCAAGTTTGGGGGAAAATGGAAATTGGAAATTATTACTTAAGCTATACTTCTTTTTCAGTTTGATATATACCCATATGTTTAAACAAAACTTTTTGTTGGACTTTATGTTGAGTTATACATATCCTTTATGAATGTTAGGACATGGCACATGCTTTTCTGTCTTTTCATTAGCGTTCTTCAGCGGTCTCTTTTGGAACAAGCTCAGAAGCCCATTGACATCAGACAAAGGAGTTCGCAAAATCGTCAAAATTGGCTGGCAGCATCAGGTGATTCAAAGCACAAAATTTCCGTGGGCAAAACACAGAGCTACTGTTTAACAATTTATATTTCAGAAGTCAAGAAAGAAGAATTTCAAGAAGGAATGAATCAAAAGTGTCAGGGAGCCCAAGTAGGATTAGGACCTGAAAGCCATTGTATTTGGCAATTGGGTGGTCAGTGGTGGCCTTTAAGAAATGGAAAACAATTTTTCTGAAATTTCTTCTTTTTGTTGGGTAGCAGTTAGGAATGTGTCTAAGGAGGCGGGGGGAGTCAACTTTATTAAGTTTCTATACCACGTAAGAAAAATATGGTAAAGGAACTTGAGAGAGGCCTCTCCAGCAGTCTAAAATTTATAGGTAGCAATTAGAATATTGTATGGAGGTGTTGTGAGTGTGTGTTTCATTTATCAATTGGTTACTTCACCTCTCCAAAATCGGACAATATCTAATAAATATCCCTAAATGTTACAGAGTGACGGTTTTACTCAAAATACATGAACAATTAATCTATCAAATCATAGAAAATAACTTCAAAAGTCGTGATGTGAATTTAAAAAAACTATTTAAGATGTGCTTTTGAGAGAATTTAAATGAATTATAGATTTGTGAAATATTAGGGTAAACAAAGCCAAAAGTTGTGTCATAGATCATGCAATCTGGCATTATCCAGTTTTAAGCAATCCAGGTAAGTTAAGCAAGGGAAAAATGGCTGATTGAGTCTGTGAGTCATATGTAAAAACGTAGCATACTGATTTTTTTTTAATGTTAATAATAAAAATGATACAGATGTACTTCACTTTTTGAAAAGTGAATATTTGAAGATCAAAACTTAAAAACACATTATTCTTCTTAAGTGACTCAGACGAAGGCAGAATTCTTTTAAATAGCACTGTCCTCTCATACACAAATACTATGTTGTGAAAATTAGATAAGTCTGAGTGAAAAGCACACTTTTAAAAATTTTTCCCCAAAGTGTTTTCTTTCTGGCTTGACTATGGCTAATTTTACTAATATTGGGCAAACAACTAAAAATGTAAGGTTTATTCATGTGACGTTTTTGAAATAAGGAAATTCTGGATTAGATCCCAAAGCAGTCACAACATTGATAGAAGGGAGAAGGCATCTGTGCAGATAATAGCTAAATGTCTTTTCAGTTCCAAAATTCTTTTATTTTATTGTTTATGCTACACAGACCATTTGATATTCCCATGAAATTACATGCTTCATCATGGAGGAAATCTCAGAGCACCTTACTACAAATTTGTGTCAAAATCTTAGTGCAGTCACTTGAACTTATTTGGTCTACTAACATACCAAAAGACTTAAAAGAAAATGGTGTCCAAAAAAAAAAAAAAAAAAAAAAAAAAAAAAAAAAAAGCACAAGTACAATAGTGCCAGAAGATGGGGGCACAAATTTTAGCATGTGTTCAGTGTAATGTTCTCAAAGGACAGCAGTATTTGCAAATAAATATATGTCTTTTGGAGTTGCAGTATCTATACTTTGGCTATGTATACCAAGACTGAAAATAAGAGGGACAATAGTATTTATCTTGAAAATCTACGCGCACAAAAACATTAAACAGGGAACTGAGTTTTCTCTCAGTGAAGCTTTTTCTAAGTACACTCACCCAGACCTGAATTTTGAGCCTGTTAAATATTCTCACTGTATTTTAATCACAGGGGTTATTTACCATACCACAACTCAAAAATAAAACCTAATCTCCAAACCAGATACATTTGTATTTTAAATGGAAATATTTACACTATAGAATTGAGCTGTTCATTGTGGTAGCAACTAGCCACATGTAGCTATTAAAATAAAAAGTAAAATGAAAATTAAATAAAATTTAAAAGTCAATTTCTCAGGCATACTGGCCACATTTCAAATGCTCAGTAGTCATGGGTGACTAATGACTACTGTTAATGGACAGTTCAGATAGAGAAAATTTCTATCACTGCAGAAAGTTTTGTTGTACATTGCTACTATAGAAAGGTTCCCAGCTTTATAGAAAGGGGTGTTATCTCTTTTCAGTAGTTCACTCCACAACTGTATTGAAATACATCTGGATATATCATTGGGTGGAAATTTGTGGGGGTTAAGATTGAAGAATGAACTCTCCTCTTGAGAGTTTTGGCTGATCTATCATCTTCTGATAAATACACTGTTGGGCTTTTTTTTCTACTGGTCAGTATGTGAAGCCAGTGGTACTCCCAGCCCTTCCTACTGTTGATACATTTTTTAAAAATGTGTCTACCTGGCTATCATTCGGACCATGTATCTTCTTACATAGATAGAGATATTTGGCAAGTGTACACTTAATATTGAAAACAGAGCAGCCATGTAGGTCTACAGATGGAAGAAAACTTGAACCCCTGCTAATACCCCTGAAAAGAGAATTTAAGATCCTGGCCCCATGAGAATTTTCAGGTGATATTTCCTGAATGGAATCATAAAAATGACAAAAAAAAAAAAAACCAGAAAAAAAATAAGGGATTTAACTGATACACTGTACAAATGAAGACAATGACTGTAATCACCATTGTTACTAATGTATTTTTGGCATTCCATAGAATCTTCTTCTGAGGAAGAGAGACCTGTGACTGGAAGGAGGTCTCAGTCATCACCACCTTATTCTACTATTGATCAGAAGTTGCTGGTTGACATCCATGTAAGTTTCCATCTTAACACATTAATGTCTATTTTTTTTTTATTTTTCATTCGTTTTGACTTACACATTCTCACCTTCACTTGAGAGAAAGGTTAAAGAGTTTAGTTTTTTAATTAATATTTTAAAGACGTATTCTCATTGCTTTGTGAATACATAGAACACAAAATTTAGAAATTAAAATTGAAATGGGAAAACACTTAACCAATCAGAGAATATTTTATTTTCACATTCTTGTGTCATTTAGAACATGTCTGGGAGAGTAGTGATAAAAAGCTATTTGTAAAACCTAATCTCAGATTGAGGAGTACATGTTAGATGTCCAACTTTTAATAGCAATCCTTGAGTGATGAGGCAATGCATAAATATCAGACATTTAGTAAAAAACAGAGTGTCCTCTGATGGCATAAACAAAAAGTCTTCTAACTCTTTGTGAACATGTTTAAATTGTTCTAATGCAGATTTTAAATTGTCCTAATGCAATGGTCTTTCAGATTTTTCTATTTCAATTTTGTAATTACCTCTATGCTACCATACACACATCCCTTCCAGATTGCCCAAAAGTTGTTAAATGATACATACCATACTTAAAAGATGGATTTAGATTAATTCGCACTTTGGAAGTGTTTGAGATCCTTTAAGACAACCCATGGCACGTAAAACCAGTGCTGGGTAATTAACATATCAATTTCAAGAGCTGTGTGTTAATCCCAATGTCAGGGCATAAAACAAAAGGTAAAACAAAATGGTAACAAAAGTTACCATTTTTAAAGAGCATCAGATCACCTGTTCTCTCCAGCATCAAAAGCAAATGTCCACTCCTGAGCCGACAAGTATGGGTAATTTTTTTAAGTGAGTTTATTTTGCCCTATGTGATCCACTAATAATCACAGTCTGATGTTTGGGTTTTGACATCTCATCCTCACTAAAATTTTGGCTCTATCTAGTGAGTGAACATCCTTGTTTCAATTTAAAATATATTTCAAAATGTTGTCAGCTTGGAAACTTTCCAATCTAGAAGAAAATTAAAGGCTACTAGAGACTACATTAACCTTTCTTGTGCACACAGGTTCCAGATGGATTTAAAGTAGGAAAAATATCACCCCCTGTATACTTGACAAACGAATGGGTAGGCTATAATGCACTCTCTGAAATCTTCCGGAATGATTGGTTAACTCCTGCACCTGTCGTTCAGCCACCTGAAGAGGATGGTGATTATGTTGAACTCTATGATGCCGGTGCTGATACTGATGGTGATGATGATGAGTCTAATGATACTTATGAAGATACCTATGATCATACCAATGGCAATGATGACTTGGATAACCAGGTTGATCAGGCTAATGATGTTTGTAAAGACCATGATGATGACAACAATAAGTCTGTTGATGATGTAAATAATAGTTATTATGAGGCACCTAGTTATCCAAGGTTGGTTTTTTTTAATTACTTATACTATCCATGTTTTATGACTGCAGAGCTATTTGCATCTTTGGTTTATTTTCAAAATTTATTACCAAGAGATTGACTTAATTTCACTTGCATTTTGGTAAATGGTTTGATGGTCAATAATGTATTTTAAATTGTTCTAATGCAGAACATCTAATTTTGTGTCATTTGTGTATTTTAAAATAAGCATTCAAGTATTTATTAGTTTATAATTAATTTATAACTGGAATTGTCTGGATGTTTCTTTTAAAATTACTGCCACTGAATCATCCTACTCTATAAAACTATACTGAGTATGAGAAAAGGCAACAAAGGAAGTGTGTAACTTAACAAGCATTAAGATGAAGTCTTGGTATTTGCAAACATAGCTATTCATTTCTCAAACTTTTGTGATATCACCATATATATAATACATTTAAGATGATTTTTATCTGGTTAATTGGTGGAGAAATTACCAAGAGCTCTTTTGATTTTTTTTCAACCAAAAAAGTCTATCAAGAATTCCATTATGAAATAAATTTACTCTTAGAATTATCACAGGCACGTACGTTTAATTTTGTTTTCTATCCAAAAAGAGAGCATTGACACATTTTGTTAAGCTTAGTATTTTTGACAATTAAATAACTTAGTTCCACAAGACATGAGGTCTATATTGCTGAACTTCCTTGGTGGGAGTAGTAGACCAATGAAGTTCTGTAGCAAAGCAGTCAGTACAAATGTTAGAAAATCAAGGCAGATGTTGAAATGAATACAAACTAGATATATTGCAAGAAGAATTAATCATGTTGTGGTTGAGCTAAAAACATAGGCTTAATCATTCATGTGTCTGTGAACTTGCTAATGCATGAAATAGTATATATTTAAGAAAAAAAAACTACATATTCTTGCTGCTAACCTAATACATGCACCTAACAAAGAATACAAGTTCTCTTCCCTCTGCCATCCAAATGCATCTGGGAAATTGGTGGCGGCTGTGGCATTAATTCATTACATAAGACTGACAAGACATAGCAGCATTTTTCTTTCCTGTATCATACCAGTAGTGTTCACATAGAGCAAAGACAAGCCTGGGCATGGTAGATATGTATAAGACACATCCTAATTCTGCTCTACTTGCTAACTTTCCAAATGTGTTTTTATTGCGTGGCTTTGTTTCATTAATTGAAGTTTGTTATCAGGGCAAGCTATGGCAGAGATGGAAGCTGCAAGCAAGATGGTTATGATGGAAGTTGTGGAAAAGAGGAAGCCTACAGAGGCTATGGAAGCCATAGAGCCAATAGAAGCCATGGAGGAAGTGCAGCCAGTGAGGACAATGCAGCCACTGGAGATCAGGAAGAACATGCAGCCAATATAGGCAGTGAAAGAAAAGGCAGTGGGGGTGATGGAGATAAGGGAGTCATTCGAACCAGTGAAGAGAGTGGAGCCCTTGGACCCAATGGAGAAGAAAATTGCTCAGAGACAGATGGTCCAGGATTGAAGAGAGCTGTGTCTCAGGACTTTGAATATCTACAGGAGGTAACACACCATTTGAAAAGCAGATTGAACTCCTCTCATTGCAAATGTGTTTCTTCATGGGACATGTAGCATTTCCAGCCGTTCCAAATAGATTTCAATCATATACCACAAAGCCTTAAACATTTTTAATTATAGGTTTGTAGGTGGATCCTTATTACTTCTAATTTGCGTGGTTCCTATTTACTTCCAAAGGCAAAAATCTCTTATTTGTTTGTCTTTATTACTCAGATCACATATTTGGGGTAGTGTCTCTTGACTCATACTTTTAAAAAATATTTTAAAAAATTAATTGACATATAATAATTGTATATATTTATGGGGTACAGAGTGATATTTTAACATATACAATTTGTAATGATGACATCAGGGTATTTAGCATGTCCATCACCTCAAACATTCATCGTTTTCTTGTGTTGGGAACAATCAATATCCTCTCTCCTAGCTATCTGAAAATATATAATGAATTATTGTTAATTATAGTTATCCTACAGTACTATAGAATATTAGAATTTATTTCTCCTATCTAGTCATACATTTGGATCCTTTAACCAGCCTTTCTCTATCACTCTCCCCTACTCCTCTTCCCAGCCTCCGGAAACCACTATTTTACTCTCTAGTTATGTGACATCAATTTTTTAGCATTTGCATATGAGTAAGAACATGTGGTTTTTACCTTTCTCTTCCTGGTTTATTTCACTTAACATACATTGAGTCCAGGTTCATCCATGTTGCTGCAAATCACAAGATTTCATTCTTTTTTATGGCTAAATAGCATTTATTTCTGTATGTATGTCACGTTTTCTTTATCAGTTCCTCTCTTGATGGATGCTTAGGCTGATTCCCTATTTTGGCTATTGTGATTAGTACTGTAGTAAATATGGAGGTGCTGATAGCTCTTTGATACACTGATTTCCTCTTTTTTGTAGATAGGTACCTAGTAGTGGAATGATTGGATCATATGGTAGTTCTATTTGTAGTTTTATAAGGAACCACAACACCATTCTCCATTATGGGTGTAGTAGTTTACATTCCCACAGACGGTATATAAGAGTTCCCTTTTTTCCACATCTTCACCAACATTTATTTTTTGTGTTTTGATAATAACCATTCTAACTAGGATGAGATGATATCTCATTGTGGTTCTGACTTGCATTTTCCTGATGATTAACTATGTTGAATTTTTTTTTTCATCTATCTGTTGGTTATTTGTATGTCTTCTTTTGAGAAATGTCTATTCAAATCATTTGCCCATCTTTTTTATTATACTTTAAGTTGTAGGGTACATGTGCACAACGTGCAGGTTTGTTACATATGTATGCATGTTGGATTATCTGCTTTTATCTGTTGAGTTGTTTGAGTTTCTTATTTTCCGGATTTTAACCCCTTGTTGGACGAATAGTTTGCAAATATTTTCTCTCATTCTTCAGGTTGTTTCTTCACTTTGTTGATCATTTCCTTTTCTGTGCAGAAGATTTTTAGTGTGATATAATTCTATTTGTCTATTTTTTATTCTGTTGCCTGTGCTTTTGAGGTCCTATTCTTTTTTCCCAAACCAATGTCCAGAAGCATTTTCTTATATTTTCTAGTAGTTTTATAGTTTCAGGTCTTACATTTAAGTATCTAATCTATTTTGAGTTGATTTTTTTTTTATATGGTGAGAAATAGGGGTCTAGTGTCAGTCTTTTGCTTATGGATATTTAGTTCCCCAGCACCATTTATTGAAGACATTTCTCTTTCCCCAATGAATATTCTTGATGCCTTTATCAAAAATCAACCACAATGAGATAAATGAATATGTGGATCTATTTATGGGTCCTTTATACTGTTCCATTGGTATGTGGGTCTGTTTTTTGGTTGCTGTAGTTTTGTGGTATATTTTGAAATCTGATATTCTGATGCCTCCAGTATTGTTCTTTTTCCTCAGGATTGCTTTGGCTATTCTAGGTCTTTTTTGATTCCATGCAAATTTTAGGATTTTTTTCCTATTTCTGTGAAGAATGTCATTGGTATTTTCATAAGGAATACATAGAATTTGTATATTGCTTGGGATAGTAGGGTCATTTTAGCAATATTAATTCTTCTAGTCCATGATCATAGGGTGCCTCTCCTTTTGTGTGTGTGTCCTTTTCAGTTTCCTTCATCCATGTTTTACAGTTTTTCTTATAGAGATCTTTTACCTCATTGGTTAAATTTATTTCCAAGTATTTTATTTTGTAGCTATTGTATATGGGGTTGCTTTTGTGATTTCTTTCTCAGCTAGGTTGTTGGTATATACAAATGTTACAGATTTTTCTATGTTGATTTTGTATCCTGCAACTTTACTGAATTTGTTTATCAATTCTAAGAATTTTTTGGTGGTGTTAAAGGTTTTTCTATTTATAAGATCATGTCATCTGCAAACAGAGACTATTTGACTTCCTCTTTTCCAATTTGGATGTCTTCTGTTTCCTTCTCTTGCCGAATTGCTCTGATTAGGACTTCCAGAACTAAGTTGAGTAAGAGTGGTGAAAGTGGATATTTTTGTCTTATTCCAGTCCTTAGAGGAAAGACTTTCAGCTTTCTCTCATTCAGTGTGATGTTAGCTGTGGGTTTTTCATATATGGTCTTTATTGTTTTGAGGTATGTTCCTTCTATACCCAAACTGTCGAGAGTTTTTATCATGAGGGAATGTAGAATTTTATCAAATGCTTTTTTTTTTGGTATCTTTTAACATGATAATATAATTTTTGTGTTTGATTCCATTGATGTGATGTATCATCTTTCTTGATTTGCATATGCTGAATCTCTCATGTATCCCTGGGATAAATCCCACTCGATCATGGTATATAATATTTTTGATATAGTATTGGATTCAGTTTGCTAGTATTTTGTTGATTATTTTTGCATCTGTCTTCATCAGAGATCTTGGCTTGTAGTTTTTTGTTTGTTTGTTTGTTTTAATTGTTGTGTCCTTATCTGGTTTTGAGATCAGAGTCATACTGACCTCACAGAATGAGTTTGGAAGAATTCCCTTCCCTTCACCTTTTTTGGAATAGTTTGAGAATCAACATTACTTTCTCTGTAAATCTTTGGTAGAATGTAGCACTGATGCCATAGAGTACTGGACTTTTCCATGTTGGGAGACTTTTTGTTGCTGATTAAATCACATTATTCATTATTGGTTTGTTCAGGCTTTCTATTTCTTCTTGGTACAATCTTGCTAGGTTGTATGTGTCCAGGAATTTCTCCATTTCCTCTAGATTTTCTAATATATTGCTGTGTATTTTTCATAATAGTCTCTTATGATTCTTTGTATTTCTGTGGTATCAGTTGTGATGTCTGCTTTTTTGTTTCTGATTTTATTTATTTAGGTCTTTTGTACTTTCTTGTTAGTTAATCTAGCTAATGGTTTGTCCATTTTGTTTATCTTTTCAAAAAGCCAAATGTTCATGTTGTATTTCTTCTGTATTGTTTTTGAGTCTCAATTTCATTTACTTTTGCTCTGATCTTTATTATCTCTTTATTTCTCTTAATTTGGAATTTGGTTTGTTCTTGCTTTTCTATTTCATTGGGGTGCATCATTAGATTGTTATTCAAATTCTTTCTGCTTTTTAAATGTAGTCATTTATTGCTATAAACTTGTCTCTTAATACTGTTTTTACTGTATCCCATAAGTTTTGGTGTGCTGTGTTTCTATATTCATTTGCTTCAAATAATTTCTTAATTTCCTTCTTAATTTCTTTATTGGCCAATTGGTGTTCAGGAGCATATATTTTTAATTTCCATGTATTGTTACAGTTTTGAATGTTTCTCTGGTTATTGATTTCTAGTTTATTCTATTTTGGTCAAAAAGGATACTTGATAATAATGTTGATTTAAAAGAATGTTTTGAGACTTGTTTTGTGTCCCAACATATGGTCAGTCTTAGAGAATGTTTCATGTGCTGATGAAAATAATGTATATTCTGCAGCTGTTGGATGAAATGTTCTATAAATGTCTGTTAGGTTCATTTGGTCTATGCTGCAGTTTAAATCCAATGTTTCTTTGTTGATTTTCTGTATAGATGATCTGTCCAGTGCAGAGAGTGAGGTGTTGAAGTTCTCAACTATTATTATATTGTAGTTTATCTCTCTCTTTAGATCCAATAATATTTGCTTTATACATCTGGGTACTCTAGTGTTTGGTTCATATGTGTTTATAGTTATTATATCCTCTTGCTGAACTGATCCTATTATCATAATATAATGTCTGTGTTTTTCTCTTTTTTACATCCTTTGACTTTAACACCTGTTTTATCTGATATAAGTGTAGCTATTCATGCTTGCTTTGGATTTCTGTTTGCATGGAATATCTTTTTCCATTTCTTCATTTTCAATCTGTGTGTGTCATTACAGGTAAGATGAATTTCTTATAGGCAACATATAATTGGGTGTTTTTATTTTTTTATTTTATTTTTTACTTTTTTAACCATTCTACTAGTCTATATGTTTGATTACAGAATTTTGTCTGTTTATGGTCAAGTTTATTATTGATATGTGAACACTTACTCCTGTCATTTTGTTAACTGTTTCTGGTTGTTTTGTGTATCCTTTTTTTTCTATTCTCTTATTGTTAATCTTTGTTGTTATATAATCTTTTGTAGTAATAAGGTTTGATTCATTTGTATTTCACCTTTCTATACCTGCTTTACACATTTTATAATTTCATGTTTTCATGATAGTAGTTATTGTCTTTTTCCTTTCAGATGTAGGACTCCCTTAAGCATTTCTTATAAGACCTCTCTAATGGTGATGAATTCCTCTGCTTTTTGCTTATCTGGAAGAGGCTTTATTTCTCCATTTCTGAAGGATTGCTTTTCTGGTAATACTATTTTGGGCTAGCAGGGTTTTCTCCAGCACTTTGAACATATCATCCTATTCTCTCCTGGCTTGTAAGGTTTCTGTTGAGAAATCTGCTGTTAGTCCAAAGAGGATTTCCTTGTATGTGATAAGACTCTCCTTTTGCTGTTTTTAGTATTCTCTCTTTGTCACTGACTTCTGACAGTTTTACTGTAATTTTCTTTTGAGAGGACTTTTTTGAGTTGAATGTATTTTATAACCTTTGAGCTTCCTGAATCTGGATGTTCATATCTCTCCCAAGATGTGGGAAGTTTTCAGCTGTTATTTTATTAAATAAGCTTTCTACATCTTTACATCTTTCTGGAACCCCATAATTCAAAAATACATCCTCTTAATGTTGTCCCATAAGTTCTATAGGCTCTCTTTATTCTTTTCTTTTCTCTTTTTTCTTGTCTGCCTGAATCATTTTAGAAGACATGACTTCAAGTTCAGAAATTCTTTATTCTGCTTGGTCTAGTCAGCTGTTGAAGCTCTGTATTGTATTTGTTAATATTATTTGTTGAATTCTTTATCTTCAATATTTCTGTTTGGTTCTTTTTTAATGATATCTATTCCTTTGTTGAATTTCTCACTCAGATCATGATTTTTTTTAAAATTTCATTGATTTGTCTATCTGTATTCTCTTGTATCTTGCTGAATTTCTTTAAGATGATTATTATTAATTCCTTTTCTGGCACCTCACATTTTCTTTTCTGTTGTCTGCTACTGGAGAATTACTATGTTCCTTTGAAAGTATGTTTCCTTATTTGTTAATGTTTCTTGTGTCCTTGTGTTGATATCTGTCCATCTGGTGGAGCAATTGCTTCTTATAATGTTATGGAGTAGCTTTCATAAGGAAAGACTTATTCCATAGATGGGTCCTGGGGTGTTGGTTGGGTGGGGTGCATTAACTTTGGTTCTGGGTAGTTGCAGCAGTGTGGTCTCTATGCTGTAATATACATTAGCAATGTTTGCTAGTACCTCACTGGCCCAGGCAGCAAAAATTTGTGGGAAAGGTGGCACACCTTTGCCAGGGGTGGACTTGCCAGGCTGTTTCTCAGGCCAGAGGCAAAAGTGCACATGCGGTGGGTTGAGTGGCTCAGGAATTTGCCCTCCAGGGTTGAACTACCAGACTACTTCTCTGGGCAAGAGTGTGGTCACACAGGGTGGGACAGCTGGCTTGGGGTCTGGCTTACTGGGATCAGAGCTGCTGAGCTGTTTTTCTGGTCAAGGGTGCAAGTGCACAGCAGTTAAGCCAGCCTAGAGTTGGCTTCGCCAATGTGCAGTACTGGAGTTATGGCTGACCTTTCCTGGGCCCAAGATCTGAGCAGTCGGGGTCACAGCATTTCAGCCATCAATGGGGGCTTGGTGAAATGACAGTAGAGCGGCAAGACTGGAGAGGCACAGTGTTTACTGGCCCCCAGAACATAGTGCACTTCAGCAGTGGCTCTAGATTTAAGATGGCACCAGGCTGCAGCAGCTTGTTGGGAAATACACAAGCTTTGCTCCTTATCTGGAGCAATGCAGACACATGAATTTCAGGCACCTTCCCAAACTGAACTCAGGGCTTGTCAGGACTATGAGATTCTCCTGTAGTAAGTACTGCAGTTGTCTGTAGTGGCAATTGGGGCTGATGAGAGTCTTCTGCTTACCTTTTCCCAATAAGGAGAATTCCTTCAGGGCTCTGAGCTGATCATGGTAGGGGAGATGGGGCAGCAGAAGCAGAGTACCTCACTTCCCTCTCTTTGCTGCCATTTTGAGATTCCATGCTATACAGTGACCTCACCACCCCATCACTGCACTCCAGCACTCTCCCTCAGACACACCAGTTGAACTCTGTTTATTCATTCCCTTTTTCCTTTTTTGTGAGGCGGACAAGCACCAGGTGCCACCAATAAGCTATCTTACGGACATCACTCCAATCAGAGCCAATTATTTTTTTCTGAGTTTTTTTATTGTGGTAAAATATACATATCATAACATTTATCATTTCAACCATTTTTAAGTGTACAAACAAGTTGGATTTATTACATTCAGAATATTGTGAGATTGTCACCACTATCCATTTTCAGAACTTATTTTTTTTACCATCCCAAACAAACTAAACAAGTATTGTTTCCCCGTCCTCCAACCCCTGATAACCTCTATAAGTATTGTTTCCCCATCCTCCAACCCCTGATAACCTCTATAAGTATTGTTTCCCCGTCCTCCAACCCCTGATAACCTCTATTCTACTTTTTCTCTTGGTAACTTATATAAGTGGAATCATACAATATTTGTCCTTTTGTGTCTGGCGTATTTCACTTTTTAGGTTTTCAGAGTTTATCCACGTTGTAGCATGGGTCAGAATTTCATTCCTTTTCAAGGGTGATAATATTTTATCTTATGCATATACCACATTTTGTTTATCCATTCATCTACTGATGGAAACTTGGGTTGTTTCCACCTTTTGGTTATTGTAAGTAGCGCTGCTGTGAACATTGATGTACAAGTATCTGTTTGAGTCCCTGCTTTCAGGTTTTGGGGGCGTATATAGCTAGGAGTGGCATTGCTACATCATGTAATAAGTCTACGCTTAACTTCTTGAGCAACCGATAACATAAAATTTTAATTCAAGTAATATACTGTGTTTATACAATGATTTTGTCATTCGCAAAACATTTATTGACTTTATAAATAGGTTTAAAATATTCAAGTAGTTCACAGATGCTACATCAATAGAAATTATCACAGATAACATTCTCTGGACCATGTGGTATTTGAACTCATTCTTGAGAAATGGGGAGTATCTGGATATCTGAGAACATAGGTGGAACTCCAGACAGAAAAAAGATTATGCCAGTCTACTCCCCTAGCCTATTTTCTTGTCACACAAACTGGCTTTGGAGATGCCATGCTCTTTCATGAATCAGCGCTCCTGTGCAAGCTGTTTCCTCTGGAAGGCTGCCCCCTCACCTCTTCTCTGTTTGGTGAATTAGTAATCCTTCATGGGCCAAATCAAGTATCAACTTTGACTTACCAAGGCAGAGTTATATACCCCTTCCTCTGTACTTTTGTCCATAGTTCCAATTTAGTATTTACGGTATTATTGTTAGTTATGTTATTTCTTTGCTTTCACACTACATTGTGAACTCTTAAAGGAAAGAATTATATCTAATCCTTGCTTGATTATTTGTCTACCAACTCACCCAACTTCAGTGTCTAACCTGGGACATGGCATATGATAGGCACACAGTAATTGTGGAATAAATCAATAAAGGATGAAAAGAAAGAAAAAAAGGAAGGAAGGAAATTTCGTGGATGGTTTCTAATGGGAAAGCAGTGCCAGTGGGAAAATATCTATGTCTGTCTATCTATCATCTATCTATCTATCTATCTATCTATCTATCTATCTATCTATCTATCTATCTATCTATCTTAATTAATTAATTAAAGACATTAAAACAGGATATCCCAATGTAAGTTTCATAGCAAACCTGGTTATCTCCAGTTATCTCAAGGAATGTTTTGGAAATTTATAGAGGAAGTGGATCTTCCTTTCATTTTAATTTAAAAAGGACATGGTGTCATGCCATGTTTTTGTGGTTGAAAAGGTCATAAAAACCAGTCTTTTACAGAATAGCACAGCTCTCTCAGTGCCAAGAATCGCTGTTTAGACACAAAGATGAGCTTATCAACAGAAGAACTTACCAACAATAGTTGACATATTTTCCCACAGGACAGGGCATACCACATAAATTGTCACATTTTGTGGTTTTTATCCTTGAGTATCTTCTTTGTAAGTTGATGAAAGCAAGCTACATTTTCAGTGATGCATGTTTACACTCTTGAATTTGTGTTGTTTGATTTTCCTTCATTTTCTTTATCATTTGAAAGTTATTTCTGCAGGGTTTTCATGCTTTCAGTTTTGTGAAGGTACCTTAAAGCAGTGGAACAGACATCCCCACACTGTGCTTTATATTTTTTCAAGAGGCTGTTTCGCATAGCCTAGCTGGATGTATGCTTTGGAATCAGACAGACTTTGACTTCAAACTCTACTTCCCCTACTTACTAGTATTATGACTGAATAAATTATTTACTATCTCTAAATTTTAAATTTGTATAAGTAAATTGGAGATAATTATACTTACTTGTTGGGCTATAGTAAGGAGTCACAAAGATATCTAAATATGATGCCTAGCAAAGTAGCTGATACATGGTAAAAATTCCACAAATGTTAAGTCCCAAATTGTACAGTTGGGTACCTATAGCGCCTTGCATTTCACCTGTACCATCAGTCATCTCAATAATAGATTAGTTCTCTCTCTTCTGATGACATTGTTGAGTTTTTCTAGTAAATGTGGATTTTATAAGAATGTAGATGTTATAGATCTTGCATTTTATTTTCCAAATGACCCCTCACTAGGCATATTTCTCCTACTGTTAACCTATTAATGAAATAAAAATCGGTTTTTGGACTTCTTTTAGGAGCCAGGTGGTGGAAATGAGGCCTCAAATGCCATTGACTTAGGTGCTGCACTGTCAGCACCTGATGATGAGAGCGACAATAAGGACATACCAGAATCATCAATACAATCAGATTTTTCTGCCAATCACTCATCTCCTTCCAAAGGTTTTGGGAGGTCTGCTGATGCTAAGTTTGCCAGTGCCATCTGTGAGTGTGTTCAATATAATCTCCAAATGCTACTATCTGTTCACATATTAAATAGTGTTTAACCGCTGCTTCATGATCTGTTAGGAATCAAATTATTATTCTGACATTCAGTTGAAATAAACTCAGATTGGTATATGCTTTTAAAACATCTATGCTTTACTGAATCTTTATGGTACCTAAATTTGAACTACAATTGAGAAATTGAGTCCCTTATCTGGATTTATGTGTGTTTTCTAATCACAATAACTGAAAATATATTCATGCTCAACAATGTATTTTAACCATCATGATTTGTGTTATCTGATGGTTTCAGAGTTACTGAAACTATACTTTCAGTAAAAAATAAAATACAATAAAAGGAAAGAAATTTGTTTGTTTTTTATTTTGAGATAAGATCTCGCTCTGTCACTTAGGCTGGATTACAGTGGCATGATCACGGTACATGGTAGCCTCAACCTCTGGTTCTTAATGATCCTCCCACCTTGGCCTCCCAAGTGTTGGGATTACAGGTGTGAGCCACACCACCTGGCCAAAGAAAATAAATTTGGCTAAGTCGTGCCTCATTTGTGGAGGCACTGTAGCATATAAGGTGAATAGATGAGTAATTTAATTTTTTTTTCTATAACTCCATCAGGTGCAGATTTTTCTTTTTTAAAAAAAATTTTCTATAATCCATCAGGCACAGAACTAGTAATTTCTCTTATTATCTCCCCTTACATCTTTGCAGTATATGCTGGATTTGTAGAAGTACCTGAGGAATCACCTAAGCAACCCTCTGAAGTCAATGTTAACCCACGCTATGTCTCTCCTTCATGTAAAAAACCACTAATCCACATGTATGAAAAGGAGTTCACTTCTGAGATCTGCTGTGGTTCTTTGTGGGGTGAGTTTGGTTTGTTTTCTTAAAGAATATATTTTTACGTTGTAAACCTGTGAAAATCATAGACATAGAATATTTGTTTACTCTTACCAAGTCATTAAAATAAAAATATATTTATAGTAGTTAATTTACTCAGAATTAGTTTTGCTGATTTTTTTTCACTCAGTGCAGTTGGATGTTTGAATTGATAACCCCCTCCTTTGTATTCTATTTCTTTTAAACCTGAGTTAACTTGGATGGCAGGCGAATCACGAGGTCAGGAGTTTGAGACCAGCCTGGACATCATAGTGAAACTTTGCATTAAAAATACAAAAAAATTAGCTGGGTGTGGTGGCAGGTGCCTGTAATTCTAGCTACCTGGGAGACTGAGGCAAGGAGAATTGCTTGAACCTGGGAGGTGGAGGTTGCGGTGAGCAGAGATCATGCCACTGCACTCCAGCCTGGGCAACAGTGCAAGACCCCCCCCT